TGTGATAACTAATGTGCTCACTGACACTACTGCTATTTATATAGCGCATTTCCCGTTATGAATTATACCATTTGGTCCGTTGGGTCAGATTGCTTTCACATCTCAAGAGAACTGCCCAATAGCTCGCTTGCAATTGGGCCAAGACCACCTTGTTCAGGAGGTCTCGGAACGATTATTTTTGGTGCGGATCCAATCGTGATTGTTGTGTTTACATATACCTAAACAAACCCGAACCAAGGTAGAAAGCGCACCAGGTTCCAAAAAACAAACTCTCAGGTGTGAATGCACCCTTATTTGTATCTTCACAACTTGTTTACATTTTTTTATTATTATTATTATTGAACAGCTACTTGTAAAATCAGCTTTTCCTCTAATGCAAGTAGCAAAATTCAATATCAGTTCATATACTTGGTGTATACTTTGTGATGCATTGAAGTCAAGACCTCCTGTTGCAGAATCTTTTGATCGAGGACCAGATGGGAACACTGTTGATTGATATATCGGCCTTCCCTGTACAAGTTCACAGATAGGAAGAACATAAGACATAAATAGCATCAAGTGTCCATTAATACCACCGTGAAGTTTAATACACTTTGAGGGTCAAGCCATTTAGACCAATAAACCAATAAGCAACTGTTAAACTTGCACAGTGTGCAGTAAACACAATCAAATGCCATGTGACCACTGGTGTAATGAAGAAAAACAGGAAGTTCTAGATAGTTAGATGGTGAATATGTATTTTCAGTTTCATATTGCCTCATCTCTGGGAATATACTTCCTCTCCTGTGTGTTTTGGCATAAATGTGATCAATGCAAGGTCAGTTATCTAATGCTTTTGTCCTTTTTCCCTGTGAATGATGGCCCTAATGCCCGGAATGGCTGAGTCATTTGTGAGCATTTATCCAGGAGACTTTGGTGCTACTATGCATGCTATGTCAGGTTTCTTTAGTTTAAGCCCATCACTGACCATTATTAACCAGTTACAAGCTTTAAATCTGACCTCACCCAATAGAAATGACAAAGGCTAAAGGTGTTGTATGTGTTGTCAAAAAGGTCAACATAATCTTTGTGATTATTCTACATATCTGCATTGTGATCTAATCCAGCGTTTCCCAACCGGAGAAAAAACAGTTCTGGCGAGAGCAGGGGTGCTGTGTAAAAACTCCATCAAACATTTTAAAATTGCTAAAATGTCTAAAAAAAACATCTAAATGAACCATCAATCTAAGATCGTCAAAAGTCTCTCTAATAACAACAAATAATGCACACAAATTATTTGTGCTGCTTTAAAATAAACCCAAGTTCCCTGCTGTCAAGTGGCTGTCTCTGCACGTTCTGTGGTTTTTGGTTACGTGCTGGGATTGTCTTCTCTGAGCTGTCAGTGGTGTGTAAATAGGCGCGTAATGTTTGTTTTATTAACTCTGCAGGAGGGTGATGAGCTATCAGGCGCTCTGAGAATCCCTGGAATCCCATTTAGGGTCACATACTGCAGAGACAGAGAGACAACCGACAATAGGAGAGGAGAGTGGGCTGGAGTCGGACAGATGTGCTGTTTTGTAACTCATAGACTTTTAGTGCTAATTAGATCCCAAAGGTCCAGTGTCGATGATTCACCCATTTCCCTTTTTTAGATCTTTTGTTTTTCATTAGACAGAACTACAAACCTACTGTTTCAGCTGCAAGCTGAGACCGCAATTCTGATAATCACACAATTGATTTTGAATCACATAACGTAGTTTGTACTTCAAGTGACCTCACTTCAAATGAAATCAAAGTTCATCAGTTCTTTGTCTGCATCCTGCATAATATAATATCAATTTAATTGGGGAAAAAAAAGTGTTTTTTGCATAATGACTGTTTGTGGGTTGCATCGTCAGATATTCCTTTATGGAACTTTATTTTTAGTTTATTTTTCTGCATTATCTTTTATAAAATTCTCGTTTTCATGCACTTACTCGTACAGTAAATGTCCCATATGTATTTTTTGGCAAAATGTCGATTTCCACAGAAAAAAATGTCAGCTAATCCATCATTTTGCGGGGCCAGCCAGTAAACATTGAAATACTTAGAAGACGCAAGACAAATACTTGTCGTCTGCATGAGACTGATGTGATAGTATGTGTGTAAGTTTAGGCCCTATATCACTTTGTTTTCGTTTCAATTTCATGACAATGTAAAACCAATTAACCCTGTATTTTGGCATGAAACCATGATTTATAGCTTTATAGCTATTAACTGCTTGTGCTTTTACTGAATTATTCATAGTAAGTGCTTTACTGTATCAATTTATATATATGTGGGCCCATATAAAGTGAGGTTTGAGTTGAAATGATTCTCTGTGGTAATCAGTTGGTAATCAGTAATCAGTTTTTTTTTTTTACCTGAACCATTCCTAATAATGTTGAATTATAAGGCAGGCCAAAGACAGAAATAGACCCATTTGGGGTCAGTAAAATTCCTTTTCAAAAATGTTTTTACTTATGCCCACCAAGGTGACATTTATTTGATCAAAAATACAGTAAATACACAGTAATATTGTGAAATATTATTACAACTTAAATTAATTTTCTATTTTAATATATTTTAAAATGTACATTTTAACAACATTATAAATGTATTTACTGTCACTTTTGATTGATTAATGCATTCTTTAATAAAATTATTAATTTCTTAAAAACCACCTTACGGACCCCAACTTCTAAACCGTATTTATATGATCTGTTTTCAAAAGAAGCAAAAGCATCTGAATTTAGTACATTATACATCATGAAAGCCTCTTGATTATATTTTCTCAGCATTTTAAGTTTGTCATAATTTGATTGATCTGTTTGTCGTAAGTTTCTCATTCATTCTGCATGTTTTTTCTCTCCCTCATTGCCCTGCCTGCTGTTTGTTTGTGTGTAAGTATGATTTGAATTGTCACTTCCAATCTTTCACCTCTAGTCTAACCATATCAATCCTTTCTCAACAACTTTCCTTTCTCTGTTTCATAATCCTCACAAATGACCCCTAGTGATCAAAACCACCGTTTGTCAGTACCATTCCCATGCAACCTTTAGATGTGTCGTCAAATAAAATGCATTCAAATGAAAACATAATCTCTAGGAAAATGAATAGAGCTAATAGAAATTAAGTTTGGGAAAGGACAGTTGTAGTTCAGGAAATGTTATTAGTGTGTGGTGTAGTGGGAAAGTGCTCTGAGAGGATGTTTTGGTAGGAAATACAGTCCTGGCCAGACTGTGTTGTGGCTCAGTGCCACAGCAGCTTACGCAGAGCTCCATTAGACTCAAAGCCATCTAAATGTGATAATGCAACGACTCTTAACGGCTCTAAGTTAGGTCGGTTCTCAATAGAACTTGGCAAAAGCGAGTCTGACTCTGCACTCCTGTATTGCACAATGCTCATGCGTGTTTGCATTGCAGAAGACCTGTAACATGATCTTTGTAGGTATCAGCACAAAGTTAGAATATACGACGTGTTGTCGTATTTGAATGGAAACACTGAATAGACATTTTATTGATAATTAAAGCTCCAGTCCGTAACTTTTTTAAGTTAAAAATAATCCAAAATAATTATATTAAAAAAAAACTTATTCTGCCAGTGGTCAAAAATATCTGCTTGCCATAGCTAGATTCAAAACGGTTAGCTTGTAATAATGATTTTAATTCCAGTGGTACTGGTGGGTTTCCGCGGGAAATTCGAGCATGTCTTTGCGTCATGACGTCACACCCGTACACATAAAGAAGGAGTTTCGGCTAGCCGGCTATACTGCGCGTGACGAGATGTTTAGATGTATAGGCTTTTCTCGCAGCACTTTACATAATTAAACTTATGGCATCCAGAAAGATCCAAACAACAATCATCAGTGTCAACTGGAGATTCAGCAGTTATAAAACCCAAAAGACTTCGTACTTCGGATTTAAGGTGGCTAGAGAAAGAGAAAGAAACCGTCCCATGCGAACACAAGGATTTAAACTTCGGCGGGGCTTTTGAAAAGTGCGTGAACTCCGTGTTTTGAATGGGTTCAAAACGGAAGAAGAGACGGCTTTTTTCTGCTGAACAAGTAAGACATTTCAATAGTTCACTCGTGTAACAGTACGTTTTCTTAATTCACACAGTTATGGAGTTTCCTTTGTTGTGCCTTTCTCGTTTTGCTATTATGGAGAATATGAATTCTGAACTACACAGGTAGCTGCTAACCATAAAACACATTAATTTTAACATTAGTCACGCAATGCTGATGTTGTTAACATGAACAATTTGAGAACAAAGTAGGCTATAATTTGCACGGTTGCTGTAAATCACGTTGATTAAATCTAACGAAGCTTATCATGTCGAATGCTTTTTCCCCCTTAGTTGGTCAGAACAAAAATGGATTTTACTTGTTCAGAAGATATTTTCTTATGAAAATTCTTATGTTGGTCAAACTTTCAAAAAGTGAATCTGTGATTCTGTATGACAGTATCCACACAGCGCGGTGACTGACAGCACCACTCGCCTCAAAGCACTGTGTTCATCCGCGCTGTTTCATGCCGATTTACAACCCATGTAAAGATGATAATTCCGCGAATCACTGCAGTTACAGATTTCGAACAGAGAGATGGCGACAAAGAGGAAAAGTTCCGGACTGCAGCTTTAACTAATAATAATGTATTATATTTATTTATTGCATATTAAATTGGCTATTTAAAAAATATATGTATATGTCCTGTCCTAACTTCCTGTTTTGAAAGGAAATCCGTCGACACAGGAATTATATCAAGAAATATCATTGGCTTTTTAACTCTTCACTGACTTATTCCTTTTTCTGTTAAACTTTGTTGCATGGCTCTGTTTCTCTGCAATAGGGTTTTGTTCTGAATTTAACCCCAATTAACCAAATATTATAGTGCACTTCAAATGCACTCCAGGCTGACCTAACTGACCGTTCCTGTCATGGTAAAGGTCATTTTCTAAAGTCAGATCACTCAGTGCCAATGCTCTTTTCTCTCTTGTCCCAGGAGAAGGAAGGCTGGCATTCTGCCCAGCTTGGAGGACCTGCTGTTTTACAGTATTGCCGAAGGCCAGGAGAGGATCCCAGCTCACAAATTCATTACCGTGAGTGACAGCACTCCCCTTTACACTTGTTTAAATGCACAGGGACAGATATTATCAGCTGTAGCATGTTTTGTTTACATCTCCTGCTAGTAGGTCACCTGTTCCTTGCAATAGTATGACCGAAGGAAAGACTGATGGGGTCAGTGTGTACAGTTACTGATGTGTTGTTGCTGTTATCAGCGCCTCTAAATGGGGCACAGAGCCATATTTTATTACACCAAGGCTATTATCTAACCTGGCTGACAAAGGATGTAAAGCCCACTGATAAGAGTGTTTTGATTGATGATAGTAATGAGTAATGGCATTGAAAATGAGCCTTTTAACTCTTATTTGTGCTCATGGAAATCTCTGGTTTATGTGTGCATTCAGGCACTGAAGGCCACTGGACTTCGAACGGGAGATCCACGGCTGAAAGAATGTATGGACATGTTGAAAGTCACCCTCAAATCCACGGCAGATGGCGTAATGCTGGACCGACATCTGTTCAAAAAGTAAGTTGATACTGTTTTTAATGTGCTGTAGTATATTCAGGATATATGCACGCCTCGGAAGGTCATGGAAAAAGCTGGAAACTTTTGCAGGCCTGGAATGATTAGGAAAATACTAAAAAATAGCATTGAGCAGCAGCTCTGATTGTGTGTACACTACTGTTCAAACGTTTGGGGTCAGTAAGATTTTTTTCTTAAAACGTTGTTGAAAGACATCTCTTATGCTCACCAAGGCTGCATTTATTTAATCAAAAATACGGTAAAAAATAAATAACAGTATTCTAAAATATTACAATTTAAAATAACTGTTTTCTGTTTTAATATATTTTAAAATGTAATTGATTTTGCTGGGTTGATTCTGATTCAGATGTTTGAATTTGTGAAATATCATCTTTCATCATACCCTAATTAAAAATGGCTTCGACCAGGATGAATGTCGGTGCAGGTTCAGGCTGGTTTTGCTGGTTCAGTGCTGATCAAGCTGGTGGATAAGAGGAAAAATGTTGGTGGACTAGCATGAATTTTTCCTGGTGAATCTGATTAATCATCAAACCAATTCTTTACATGGTTAAGAAGTCAAGCACATTGCATACAGTGTATATACTGCGTATTATGTATGTACTGCAGAACTATTAGTATGATCGTATAATTGCACCTATCATTACTATAACTACATTTAGCACAAATGCAGTTTCCCTGGTAATTCAAGGTGAAAAATTAATAATTTCTCAGCTAAAAAAAAAATACCCTGCAGGTAGAGAGAGAGAGAGGAGAGAGAGAGAGAGAGAGAGAGAGAGAGAGAGAGAGAGAGAGAGAGAGAGAGAGAGAGAGAGAGAGAGAGAGAGAGAGAGAGAGAGAGAGAGAGAGAGAGAGAGAGAGAGAGAGAGAGAGAGAGAGAGAGAGAGAGAGAGAGAGAGAGAGAGAGAGAGAGAGAGAGAGAGAGAGAGAGAGAGAGAGAGAGAGAGAGAGAGAGAGAGAGAGAGAGAGAGAGAGAGAGAGAGAGAGAGAGAGAGAGAGAAGTGCTTTCTCCTTGCAAGGTTTTGTTTAACAGGATTCTGCTTGAAACTGATGACCTCTCTCTGTCTGCTGACAAACACATCAGGATTTTATAACAGTCCCCACACATTTAGATAATACACATAGGTGATTGATTGCATATATTATACTTTGCATAAGAGTTGTGGTTAATGGGCGGCACGATAGTTAGTAATCGCTGTCTTTGGGCAACACAAGCGACCCCTGACAATCTGCTCCCTCTAGCTTTGTGTCACTCTTCTGGCATGATCCATAAACACCTCCCTCCATAACCAGCCTGATAGATGTCTGTTTTTCAGCTTCTCTGCTGTTGGTGCTGTGTTTACCGCCCCGGTCGATCTGGCTGCTACTGACAGCTTCATTACAGACTGAAAAGATAGATGCAGTGGTGTCAGCTTGTAGAGGCTTGATAGATTATGGCAGTGAGTGACCTTGCATGGCGGACAAGGCCAAAAAGAGACAGAGAGAGATGACATTTGGAATTGAATACTACTTTAAGTTGCATCCCCCCCCCCCCTCATTTAACCATTTTAAACTAAATGAACAGAGCTTTTGAAACGCATGATAAAAAATGTCACTCAGTAAACAAAGGTGTTTATTCTCAATCAACACAGATGCACAAAAATTGTAACTAAAAATTTGACTAACGTGTGCAGTATGAGATGTTAAAAAGGACACGTGGGTGAAAAAGAATAAGAAAAGAAAGATAAAACGCTCTTCGGTGCATTTATTCCGTTCTGTGTTAATGTGAAGCCCAAGACCACTGGGACGAAGAAAAGCCAACGAAATGAAAATAAGCACTTTATGAGTGAGTGCATCTTTAGTGCAAAATAGTAGGCATTATACAGTATATACGGCTCAGATACTGCTTACACCTGCTGTTTTTTTTAAATATATATTAGTAAATGAAACAGTTTGTGAAATGGAACAATTAACATTCAATTCAAACAATAATGTGCTGCATTGTTGTGTACATGTTTAATTTAGTGTGTGGTGTCCAATTATGATCATGAAGAAAAAGCCCCCAGATGATTTCACATTTTGTGAAAAATGTCTTTATTTGATTAAATAATTAATCAAGAAAAACTGTTCAAAATATGTAGTCTTTTGGGGAAAGTGGGGCTCATTGCATTGTGGGATATAATACCTACCACCATGTGCTCTGATGTACGATGCACATTTTTGCAAAAGTGGTAGGATATCTAGGTTTTCTATAGATTGTCTATGTTGTACAGTAGTATACATACTGCAGAAATAGTACGATGCTAGTACGCTATTCCAAACATATTGGTTCCTTTCTTGCTTCTCCTGCCCTACAGATACAAGTAATAGATTATCTTTTGAAAATTCACAACATAAATCTGAGCAGGAGCACAGTGCACCGCTATTTTGAGCTTGTCTGTCTGTTCAGGGACCTTGGTGAAGCAACTGGACCAATATTTCAGACACAATCTTAGGGGACGTTTGGGTTTATGATGCCTGTGAACGATGTACTTTCCTCTGCTGCAGTGGAAGTGAATCACCCAGCTCTGTGAAACCAGCCATGGCTTCCTCTTGTTTTGATATTTTACAGTAAATCATTCATCTTTCAGTGGGAAATGTGCATTGGAACAGATTTAGCGTTTGGCTCCTCTACTTTTTGATCAAAGTGGAAATAAACATTTAGCTTCTTGAGGAGGGAGCGTAAACAATTGCTTCAAAGACTTTGTCTCTAATGTGTGTTGCATTGATTTTTGAGGGCTGTAATTCATACAATAGTGTTACTATTATCATTTGTCTCCCTAAAATCCACAACTTTGATGGCATAAATAGCCAGTTTATGCAAATAATTGGTCATAAAGTGGAGTTAATAGTTATGTCTAATTTTAGTAACAAATTAATCTGTGTTGTTTGTCCTATAATAAAAAATAGGAAAAAATTATTACACAGATAGACAAAAATACATACTTTCCCACATAAATGCTGAGCAAGCCATTAGTAGGTATACATTCTTCAACTCTGTGGTGCTCTTTGTTTCTTCAGGTGTGTCCAGAGCAACATTGTTCTCCTAACCCAGGCCTTCCGGAAAAAGTTTGTCATCCCTGATTTCCAGACTTTCGCCTCCCACATCGATACACTTTATGAGAAAGGCCGTAATCTTTCCGGGGGGCTGGTAAGATGAGAGAAATGGAAATAACACCTTAACCTAAATGTTTTTTTTTTTTCTACTTGATACAGCCTTTGTTTCTGCTCACCTCTTTCTTTTGCTCACAGGTTGCTGACTACATTCCTCAACTTGCCAAATTCAGCCCAGATCTGTGGGCCGTTTCCCTTTGCACAGTAGATGGACAAAGGTATGAATCCTACACCTTCATCTACTGACAGGAACTACTTATTTTAGCATGAGATTTAGATTATTTTAAGGTCATCTACTTTATTTTAGCATCATCTACTGAGAGGAACTGTTTGTTTGGGGGGTTACCATGAATGAATAGTTTCACTGCATTTTTCACTTAAAAATCCTTGACCTGGAGTTGTAGCATTACGATTTTTCATATTTCAACAAGCTTTGATAATCAATTTGGGTATTTATTAACCAAACCACTTGATACGCGCTATCACTCACCATTCACTATGTAAATTATGACAAGTACCGGAAATACTTTATATATATATTGGCCACAGAACCATCAGATAAAGTGGCTGCTAATCTTATCATTCAATAAATGCTCCAATATTCTCCTGGACTAGTCATCCAGTGAAGAAAAAACATGCTAAATGTTAAGCCTCTTATGTTAGAATCATTGATAACAGGACTATAAACTCAACAGTCATTAATGATTCCCTCAATACTTAGACCCATGTGTCATGGTACATCCTTTGATCTCTGATAAAGAGGAGTTAGTCTGTATGTTTTACCCCATGCTATAGAATTTGTTGTAAAGATACATGGGGTGCCTGCATAGCTATGTGTAGTGATTACTATGGCCATTCACCTGTTACACAATAACTAGCTCTTTTAGTCAACAACACTGCCAGAGCCTTGACCTATTGACAGAAATTGATGGAATGACTTCACTTTGTTCTTTTCTGATCTTTACACTAAATGTAACTCTTTTAAAGTTGTTTACTAAATGAAATAAATAGAAAACTACATACAACAACAGCTCATACTCTGAAATGTGTTGTTACATAATAACACATTCACAATTTGAATCTCACAACAACCGCAAAAAAACAAAACAAGACAGATAACATGATCACTGCATATTTAAAGGGGTTTTCCTTATAAAAATCGATAAACACGATGTCAATAAGATATTCATTGCATAGCATAGACAGCTTCATTGATTATAACAGGAGTTTTCGCAAGAGTGCAGCTTTGTGCACCTTGCGTTATTGACAGCTTCAGTGATTATAATGGCAGAGATCTTTGCTTGCGTTCTGTATATAAAATATATTTTGCACGCTGCTAACTACACATTGCAAAGTTTCTGGTTTGACAACCGTATTTAAATGCGTGATTGAATCCGATTGACAGTGATGACCATCGCAATGGACAGAACAAAACAATCTGATACTGTATGTCAAATGATTTGTGCTTTAAGCCTTGGCGTGTAAATGCAAAATAATAGACCTGCCACTTCTTTGTTCATTTTATTTATACTGTAAATTTTCAAATCAGTCACTCAGGGACTTTTTTCATATACATGTACAGATTTCTAAATATAAAATCTGTCCTGACAGTGATTATTTTTTATTTCATGAATAAATAGGATAAGTTTGCATGCGTAGGGTACTTTGTGGATGACCGTGTTCGTCCACCACCAAAGACCATTTTTAACCCTGGGAAAACCCTGATTGACACCACTATTTTAGAATAATAAATTAAAAAAATGTTTAAAAAAAATCACTGTATTTAGAGAGGCGAAAAGAGCGGTGTGTTTGTCAGAACATCTTCATATCATGTTAGTGTGGCCTTTAGGTTCAGCTTCCTTTATTCTTTTGTTTGTTTGCTTATGTGGACAATAGGATGATATCTCTGGTTCTGATCTCTGTTTACTCCTTTACACAGACACACAGTGGGCGACACTAAAGTGCCATTTTGCCTGCAGTCGTGCGTGAAGCCGCTCAAGTACGCTATTGCCGTGCACGACCACGGCACTGAATATGTGCACCGGTTCATTGGGAAAGAACCCAGTGGCTTACGCTTCAACAAGCTCTTCCTGGATGAGGACGGTAAAAATTATAACCATCAGCTTACGCATGACTGCTTGCTTCTATAATCAGGGAACAGTGTCTGCATGTGTCTTACATTTTAATCATGTAACCCTAAGGAACATAAGAAATGTTATTTTCCCACAGATAAACCCCATAACCCAATGGTGAATGCTGGTGCAATCGTGTGTACCTCTCTTATTAAGGTAAGCATCTTCCACTTGTTTTTTATTTCATTTTCATGTTAGTAATTGTTTTTGATTACTTCTCCTAACTGTACTCACATTTACCTAATTTGATTTAGCCAGAACAGACTATTTGGTATTGGCCGAATGTTGTTGATTAAGGTTACATGTGCAGTAATGATATTTAGAGGTTATGGTTGTAGTTGTATTTTATAGACTGTATGAATAATTGATTGTGAGCAATGCTGCCTAGACTAAGACCAACTGTTCATTAGTGTGTATTTTAGGTGCTTCTTGTCTTTTCTGTGTTTTAATTACTGTACACAGTACACCCACTCAAGGCCTCCACGTTCATTTCAACTACAATATGTGGAGATCATCCTGTTTTCAGGACCATTATTACTAGAAGTCTGTTTGCAATGAATTTCAAGTAAAATTCATCCAGACTTTCTATTCTCCACATTTTTTTACACCCTCTCTTGTCACTTGGGCTGGGCGATATAGCTAAAAAATCTATAACCTTATAAATATATTGTATTTTAGTTTAGTTTTATATAAATTAGCATTTTTTTAATGTTGCCGAAAAAGCCCTCACGAGTGATTTATATTAAAATTGTTCTAATTTAGTATATATTTTGTTTAATAATTTTTTTTTGGAAATAAAAAAAAGCTGTGGGATCTTTTTAGTAGTTCTTTCAAGAAAAAAATAACTACATTTATATTTTCTATTAGGGCTGTCAAAATTAACACATTCATTTAGCTTTTTTTTTAATTTTATTTAAAGCATTAAAAATATTGATCGTTATATGATCCATTCAAATACTTTCAAGCTCGATAAGACTGTGCAGTGTTATTTTACATTTAATTACTTTATTTAATTTCTGTTTATTTCCTTTCTGAATATTACTGTTAGACCTACAAAAAAGCACTGTTTACATACAATACTGTAGGTCAAAAACAATGAAAACTTATTTTTTTTGTGGCTTGCCCAGTGAAAAAAATCAACCAGCCCGACTGAGCCAGTGGAAAAAAATCCTTAGTGTTGAACCCTTATCCATAGTGTTGTTATATATTAAATGCACAGCCAATTTTTTTTATAGGTTTATGTGAAGATTAATAAGGGGCTTTCAGGTAGTTCTAGGAACTAGCAACCAGGGTGGTTCCCCGAGAACGAATTGTTCCCCTAGGAACATTTTCCTGGTTTCATTTGCACCTCCAGTAAGAACTTTTAAGTTATGTAAGCCTCACGAGTGAGGCTTACATAACTTGCCAAGCACTTGCCGCTTGTTTTCTCCTTAGTGTAAAGGTTAAGAGGCCCATCTATCACTGTTTTCCATGTTCGTAGGGTTAATTTTTGGAGTAAACATATAGGCTATAATCTGTGTGTTTACACAGCTTTTTTAAAAATGGCGGGTGCTGGTGTTTCGCGTGCGTTCTCCCAGTCAGCGTATACTAACGCCACTGGTAGTTCCTGTAGTGCTGGTTTAGACCCTACTCTGAAGTAGGAGATAAATTAGTTCCTCCAAAAGGAGTTCCTAGAACTAAAATCGTTCCTAGTTCCTGCAGTGCGAACACGTCAAAAAACAGGTACTTCCGCCAATAGTTCTAGGAAGGTTACATAGGTATGTTAAAGGGATACTCCACCGTTTTTTCATATTAAACTGTTATTCCCTTAACTAAGACGAGTTGATGCATACCTCTCTCGTCTCAGTGTGTGCACTAAATCGCTCTGTCTTGCGGCGAAACTTTGTTAGCACTTAGCTTAGCCCAGTTCATTCATTAGGATCCAAGCAGAGAAGTGACCAAACACCTCCACGTTTTCCCTATTTAAATATAGTTACACGAGTAGTGTAACTCGACCAAGAATGGTGACAAAAAAAATTAAACGAGCACTTCGACTCCCTCTCCCTCTCCGGAGTGATGACATTACTGCGCCGAGTCCATAGATATATATGCGCCGAGTCGAAGTGCGCCCAAGCACTTGCTGTGGTATTCTGCCATACATTATAGTTATCCACTTTACACGCTTAGAAAAGCACAACGTTTTATTATGTGTCACCATTCTTGGTCGAGTTACACTACTCGTGTAACTGTATTTAAATAGGGAAAACGTGGAGGTGTTTGGTCGCTTCTCTGCTTGGATCCTAATGAATGAACTGGGCTAAGCTAAGTGCTAACAAAGTTTCGCCGCAAGACAGCAATTTAGTGCACGCACTGAGACGAGAGAGGTATGCATCAACTCGTCTTAGTTACGGGAATAACATAGTTTAATATGAAACAATTATACTGTAATGTTGAATGGCTATACTCCAAATGTTTTGCTACTTAAGACACTTTTAAAACATTTTCATGAAACTTTATATTAAAATCTTTATATTTATATCACCATAAAAATCATTGCAAATATATTGTGAATATCGGATATATCGCCCATCCTTAAAATGCATCATATTATATATTTAGAGTAGTGGGTTTATGAAGCCTGGCTGGTATTTCTTGTAGTTGTTTGCACCTTTTGGTTGTGTTTGTGTGTCACAGCCGATATACCTGGGTCTTTTATGTGTTTTGGTCCATGTGCAAACACACAAGGAAAAACACTCCAGCTGGGTTAATAGTGGTTTTGTAATGTAATGTCTATATTGCCTTAAGTTGACACTACAATATGCTCCCAGTTCTCAACTGTATACAGAATGCATGTCTACGTTTTATGCAAAGTTATCATTTCGAAACAAAACACGCATACAAATGTCCACACGTTTCCAGAAGGCTTTTCCAAGCTGGGTAGACGGGTGCTATTTCTCATTCTCTGCTTCGACAGGCTTGCATAAGCGAAACTATTCAAATTTATATGCATTTATGAGGGCTGTCAATTTAACTGGTAAATTTAGTCCAGTAAATCTTACAAAAATAATCTACTAGTGTCTAGTGCTTCTTTTATATGGAAAAACGCTGTATATGGACAAAACGAGCCTATCTCGACTGCAAAATGGAAATAAAACAAACAATACATTGACTTCTAAAGTTATGGGTAATATGGAATTTTATTCATTAATTTGTTGCAAACCATGTAATTATTTTGATTTAAAATTTCAATTGACAGCCCTAGAATTTATTTGAGCCCAGCACCAATTCACACATTAAAAGGATGCGCCATCACTCTGCGTGATGATGAATGTTCGGCATCCTGTAAACTGAAATTCAGCCTCACATCTCCCATCAAACCTAAACTCAACCATTGTGATTGCTCTTCCCATATTGTTCTCCTGTTAATGATAGTGGTGTGACGCAAAATGTCTTTCACCCCTCTGATGTGTTCTGATAGGTCAGTGCTGAATGTAAGTCGTGCCTGTCGGGTTCCTTTGCACCCAAGTAACGCATGAGATCATTTCCTCCCCTTCCTTCCGAGTCCTTGAGCACCGCCATGAGCGTGTACTAAAAGCGTGTGATATGCTGATGAAGGCTCTGTGTGCTGTTTTATGTTGTTGCATATTTTGCAGACGTAGGATCTGTGGGATTTTTTGACCACTGCTGCAGGTCAATGACGTTGGTAATTTTTCCTTTCCATTTTTCCTCCCTCCCCATGAACAAGCCTGGATACTAAAATATCAGTAGTGCCATTGTGTTTCTTAATAAGACGGCCACTGCATAAAATAGAGCATCTGTGCAGGACCAAATGATGTTTAGTGCTGGAAGCTACTGAAGCCCACAGAGGCCATGCATTATTTTATTCTGCCTTTTTTTTCTTGAGGGCTTGATAAAAAATAATGATGCATGGCCTTTGTGGGTTTCTGAAGTACACTGGGTTCAGTACATTCAGCATTTTTTTCATACAGCTTTTTCCCTCTTGTAAGATATAATGTGCAGCAGGGGTGTAAAAAGTACAAAAAGTGTGTGCTTGCATTAAATCATTGGCACAGGGACTTTTTTAAATTGAGTAAAATTTTAATTGTGCAATATTACAAAAGTTTTATACAAATAAATGGGATTGAACCTTTTAGCAAACCATTGAAATTGGCAGTAGCATAGACTCTAGTTTAGATCAAAAACGGTTCATCTTCAAATTAAATTGCTTTAGGTGTCATGGCTTCTGATTACATTTTAGATTCACATAGATTTAATTGGCTGTATAAGTATAAAATATTGTACTTAAGATTAATTATATATATATATATATATGTAAAATGCAATTTATTCCTGTGATGGCAAAGCTGAATTTTCAGCAGCCATTACTCCAGACTTTAGTCTCAACAGTCTGGACCTGTTCCGCGACATGTTTAAGGGTGTGAAAATGTAAGTCTGTCCCTACGATAACAGACCGGCATTGCATCTAATAAATTACACATTCAAGTACATTGTGCAAGTTTACTGATAAGCGCTCATTGTCACAGTTGTAAACAGGACGGCTTTCTTCTTCCATGAGGGGGTTTGGCGTAACGACGTCCCATCTGAGGCTGAAACTACATGATCCTTCAGAAATCATTCTAATATGCTGATTTAGGGCTCAAGAAACATTTCTTATTTATTATAAATATTTAAAACAGTTGTTCTGCTTAATATTTTTGTGGAAACAATGATACATTTAGAATGTTTAGAATTCTTTGATGAATAGAAAGTTCAAAAGAACAGCATATAATTGGAAAAAAATCGTAACAAAGTAAAGCCCCTTTCACACAGAGATTCCGGAAAATACACGGATAAAGTGACCCGGGATTTGACCCGGGTTCGTTTGATTTTGCTTCATTCACACTGCCAGTGATTTGCCGGAATCAGAGAGCGCGTTCACACACAACCCGTGTATGTTCCGGAAAGACGCGTGACGTTGGATGTGACGGGTCTCTACTTCAGTCCAGTTTGCAGACATTTTTTCGTTCTTTCTTGTATCGATGACGAACACAAACTTTCTTCTAGAGTAACTGAGTCCCACGATAACTACGTTATTGCAAAGGCTCGTGAGTCGTGAATCATCACTACGACACACCCCTTATACGGCATTGGTTCTGGCTTTTGTTCACACAGCGCGCGTTCCAGGTCTGAACACGGCAATGTTACTAGGTCCCCAACCCGGCATCGATCCCGGCATCAATCCCGGGTCGTGTTTGCGTTCACACAGAAGGCACTCTGGCAATTTGCCGGCAATTTGCCGGGTTCAAAGCGCTGTGTGAAAGGGGCTAAAAAGTCTTTACTGTCAGTTTTGATCAGTTTAATGCATGCTTTGTAAATAAAACTATTACTTTCTTTCAACAACTACAAAAAAATCTTACTCCAAACTATTAAACAGTAGTGTATACTAATGTATTGTCAAGGTTTAATGCAAGGTTTAAAATTACAATTTTACCAAATTAATCCATATAAATATAGTGATTTAAGTGCAATTATTTGAGTACTTTACACCCCTGATGTTCAGCAATCTAACAGACAGTCAAACAACCACATTAGTCAGTGTTCATTTATGGCAGTAATGTAATCAAGCTCAATGGTTCTTAGCTCTTTGCATTGATTTGATGAGTGTCTAAACCCACACTCAGTCTGGCAGGAAGCTGTAGGTTATTGGACACTGATCCACACACTCACAATGCACAGATCCTCCTCACACATCATCTTAAGATGTTACCAACCCTGCTGATTCACATCCACTCTGGTTTTTGACCCACTTCTCTGTTTGGCCTACAGGTCTTCATGTACATGTTTAACTCCAGTCTTCGCTCTGTAGCGGTTCATCATCATTTCCTTTGTAGAGCATAACAGTACTTTACTGTAGTAAACATGAAATGATTATCTTCCTCTTACTGATTTCTAACAACAGACTAGTAACTGATGATTTTAGCGTTGTACTGGTAATATTTAAGGAATGATGATTTTAGCGTTGTACTGGTATAATATTTAAGGAATGAAATTATCAATACGAGTTAGTTACTCTTCTGATTTATTTTTTCCCCATTATGCTATTTTGAAAATGTATTTTTATCTATTTTAATGTGATTTATTAGAATAGAAGTGTAATAAACACTCAATGAGGGCAAAATATTTGTACTTGTCTTTTATTTCTTCCCTCTGTTTTTCAGCAAAGAGCAGGCAATGCTGAGAAGTTTGATTATGTGAGTCAATTCGCAAAGGATTACAATAAATCTTTTCACAGCAGTTGTTGTTTTTGGCTTTGAGGAACCTGTTCTGATTTCTCTTCTGCAGGTCATGAACTTCTTGAAGAAGATGGCAGGAAATGAATATGTTGGTTTCAGCAATGCCACGTATGTTGAGCTGCAATTTCTGTAGATGTGATCATAGATCATACAGTCAAAATAAGTAGTCCTCTTTCTGTTTCTGTTTTTATGTCATTTGCATGGTTGGTTCAATTGAGGCATCTGAATGTTTACATGATCTATCTCAAATGTTCACCTGATCTAGATTCCAGTCGGAGCGTGAGTCAGGAGACAGGAATTTCGCTATTGGCTACTACCTGAAAGAAAAGAAGGTTAGATTCTCAGGGCGTTTTTGAGATGGTTAAGTGTCTTTATCACCCTTGATTTATTGCACCCAGCAATCCCTCCATTTCTCTCCTTCACATTTTGTTTGTATGCAAACAAAAGGTTTTCCTTTGCATTTTTCGTGTACAGACACCATTGTCAAAACGTTGTCGTGTAAACGGCCCCTTACTTACTGGAGTGGTTCGTTGTTTTGATCTGAATTTTGACTTTAACCCTTCGTTCTCTTGTGTGCAGTGCTTTCCAGATGGCACAGACATGACTGCTGTTCTGGACTTCTACTTTCAGGTGCGTACTGAGATTTCTCACTGTCACTGTCAGATTGCATCATAAGAGTTATGAACTTGTTGCAAAGCATTATGGGATTGCCTTCCAAAATGTTGACATTGTAACTGAAATACACTACCATTCAAAAGTTTGTGGTCGCAATCTTTTTTGAATGAAGTCTCTTTTGCTCACCAAGACTGCATTTATTTGATCAAAAAAATTATAATATTGTGAAATATTATTGCAATTTAAAATAACGGTTAAAGGAGAACTCCGGCGCAAAATGAACCTTTGGTCTAATTACACATTGTTACCTAGTCAACCGTTATCTGAGATTTGTTTTCATGATTATCGAATGTAAATAGTTTTATCTCTAAAAACAGTTTAGCCTATAAAGCTAGTATAACGCTAGTATATAGGGCATAGTCATAGAGTAATGACAAATAAAAATCGCTTGTTAATACCACTAACAAGGCTCAAAATAGCCCCACACTAACACGCTAGCATAATGAGGGTCCCTACCTTCAAACCGAAGCATTGAGAACTTTGTCAGTGTCCAGACAGTTTAATAAGAAGATATTTAATACATACAGTCAACTTCGCGTATACAGGCAGAAGCCATCTTTGAAAAACAGTCTCTACCAGTCGATCTACGAACGCCGATCCAAGCCTGCTGTTCGCGCTCACCTTATCACAACTCATAGCTCGTTCACATCTCACCAGCGCACTTGGATCGGCATTCGTAAATCAACTGGTAGAGACTGTTTTTCAAAGATGGCTTCTGCCTGTATACGCGAAGTTGACTGTATGCATTAAATATCTTCTTATTAAACTGTCTGGACACTGACAAAGTTCTCAATGCTTCGGTTTGAAGGTAGGGACCCTCATTATGCTAGCGTGTTAGTGTGGGGCTATTTTGAGCCTTTTTAGTGGTATTAACAAGCGATTTTTATTTGTCATTACTCGATGCCCTATATACTAGCGTTATACTAGCTTTATAGGCTAAACTGTTTTTAGAGATAAAACTATTTACATTCGATAATCATGAAAACAAATCTCCGATAACGGTTGACTAGGTAACAATGTGTAATTAGACCAAAGGTTCATTTTGCGCCGGAGTTCTCCTTTAACTCTTTTAATATATTTTAAAATGTAATGTATTCATGTGAAGGCAAAGCCATTACTCCAGTCTTCACTGTCACATGATCCTTCAGAAATCATTGTAATATGCTGATTTGGTGCTCAAGAAACATTTCTTATTAGTATCAATGTTAACTGTTGTGCTGCTTCATATTTTTGTGTAAACTGTGAAACATTTATTTGAAATAAATCTTTTGTAACATTACAAACGTCTTTACTGTCACTTTAGATTAATTTAATTTCTCCTTGCTGAATAAAATTGTTCATATTTTATTGAAAATATCTTACTGACCCCAAACTTTTAAACGGTAGTGTCTTCCCAGATTAGTCAAAATAGCATGAAATCACATCAAAATTGAAATCAAAGCAAGAGCTTGTGACTCGGAATCAAATCAGCGACTCCCTGTTGATGCCCAGCCCTAGAATTGAACGTTCTGGCTTAGTTTGGCATGGCACAAGTATGGCAGAATGCAGTCTGGTGACCCTGTCCCTTGACTCCTGTCATGTGCCTCTGAGATCATGTGGGGTGTGTAATGGGATCAGCCCAACTGATCAAACACACAAATGGTCTCATTCTTAGTTTTTTTTTTCACCAATAAAATCCATTTCAAAAGCTGCCAAATGAAAACTATTGAAAGGCATCCTGGCCTAATCATATTTCTTATTCATGTGTGTTTATTTGTGATTGCATCTATATGTGCAGCTGTGCTCCATCGAGGTAACTTGTGAGAGTGCTAGCGTCATGGCTGCCACGCTGGCCAATGGAGGCTTCTGTCCAATCACAGGCGAGCGTGTGCTGAGCCCCGAGGCCGTGCGAAACACCCTCAGCCTCATGCACTCCTGCGGCATGTATGACTTCTCTGGACAGTTTGCCTTCCATGTAAGTTTTTGTGCATGCAGGTTCACACATGCTTAAACACACTCACTAAAAAAACAAGTTCACACAATACGTGTGCTAACTCACCTCCTGTTATTTCGGGGTACTATTTCACGACATAATTTGAACCTCTTTTCTCTACATTTCACATTTTCCTTGTCATTCTTACCTTTATCTTTGTTCACAACAATATTTGAAGGCCCCATGACATTCCACTTGTTTGTGATATACTGGATGTGGATTAAGGAAAAGGATAGAATTTTACTACATTTCTACCTGATAAAATATTTTAGAACTTGAAATAACTAAAAAAATATATATGTATAAAAATGCCCATGGGGTTATATTTTATTAAAGCCTTTTTAGGACTAGACATTACACCTTTTATAATTCTTCAAAAGGAAAAAAAAAACAGTTCTTGAGGGGGTGGATTAAAATAAGAAATATCTTGATGTTTAGTTGTGTAAGCTTATATTAATGTTTTATCTCTGTTTTAAAACATTTTAAGTCATCTTGAGGCCCCGCTTGAAGTTTGCTGAGGCCCCTAGTGGGCTATCTATAATGTATGAGAATATTACAAAAAACATACCACTCTGAAATGTCCTGTGAAATCCGTGCTTGCAAAGTCTGTGCATGAAATCCGTTCTGGACGATCCACTTGTTTGTTAACATTGTCAGGGTCTGAATCGGGCTCAAATTGGTTTAAAATTGACGCCATCCTTAATATTTACACTAGAGAAGAACTCGCGGTTATGAAGGAGTGGGAAATTTCCTGAACACACGCTAAGCATTGCCAATTACAACACACTGGGCCAGCTAACCAATCACAGCACATATCGTATTTCGGAAAGAGGTGCTTCATTGAAATCAGCTTGTTCAAGCCAGACTGGGGAGAGAGTTCTGTGATTAATGTAAAATATGTAAAAAAAAAAAAAAAAATGTTTAAAAAAAAACAAGTTCAATCAAGCATGAAACATATTTTAGTACACACCAAAAATAAAATCAAGACTTCATAAAAGGGAATAATAGGACCCCTTTAAAGTACACTTTTTCTATCAAATTCACTAAACAGTTGTATCACTATAGCGCACAGTATTTCAGGACAAAACCCTGTGACTTTTTTCCCCAACTACTCATGGTACAACATAGATAACTGTGGTGTGCAATAATCTTTTCTGGGCAAACACGCCTTCTTTATATGCTAATCAAGCACGTTATAACATAAAATATGACAACATAACATGAAAATAAACAACTCTAATATTTCTCAGTGAACTCACCCAGTATCTTCCAGCCATACACAACATATTCAACTATTATTCTAGTATTTGTTTGTATATAATTGTTTTATGTTATTTTAATGTGTTTAATTTCTGTTCAGGTGGGTCTTCCAGCCAAGTCAGGTGTGGCTGGAGGTATTCTGCTGGTTGTGCCCAATGTGATGGGCATTATGTGCTGGTCTCCGCCATTAGACAAACTTGGCAACAGTGTCAGGGGCATCCAGTTCTGCACGGTATGTGAATGTTCTTGTTTCTCAACACACCCACACACAATATAAACACTTTCATTTACTTTAATGGGTAAAAAGTTCTACCCATGTACTGGAAACTTCAGATGTTTTTTTTATTTTTTATTATTACCCAAGATATGCAAGGATATTAAACATGCCTTTGTGAAGAGATGTAAAGTATGTGCTTTTCTCACGATACATGTAAGGGATGTAGGATCGGGCGATATGTCAAACATTCACAGTATGTTTGCAAACTTTTTTTTGCTGGTGATATTTGGTGAAATGATTTTTTTATTATTATTATTATTATTATTATTATTTTATTAATACATACCTTACTGACCCAAAAAATTTTAACGCTAGTGTATATTTACCATGAATATAATATAATAATTTATTTTTTATAGAAAGAACACGTTAAATTGACCAAAAGTGACAGTAAAGTGACTTTTACATGCAAATAAATGCTGTTCTTTTTATGTTCTATTCATCAAAGAGTCCTGAAAACATTTACCACAGTTTCTACAAAAATATTAACAAGCACAACCTTTTTTAAAAGGAATAATAATAAGAAATGTTTCGTGAGAACCAAATCAGTATATTAGAATGGTTTCTGAAGGATCATGTGACACTGAGAACTGGAGTAATGATGCTAAAAATTAAGTTTTAAAATTACATTTTAAAATATATTCATTGAAAAGTTATTTTTGAATTGCAATAATATTCCACAATATTACTGTTTTTACTGGGTTTTTTTACTCTATTACTGTTTTACTGTATTACGGCTTTGCTGAGCATAAAAGACTTTTGACCGGTAGTTCGGTTGTTTATCGCTATGTTTTGTTATTGTTTCAGTTTAGTTATTTAGTCATTTAAAAACAGTGAAAAACTGTGTGTAAAATTATAATTATTTTTAACTAGATTTGTACAATATTTTACAGTTAGGTTAATACATTAATATTATATTGAATTATATACTGAAAATTGTCAGAGGCCTAAAAATTATAGAGATTTATTATTTTGTACTGCTGTATTGCCTAGTTGTAGTTGCACATCTCCAATCAATACAAGAAATAGAATTTGTGTTTAGAAATATTCTTTTATGCTTTTCATCTATAGTTTGTCTTCTCTGTTTGCTGTAGTTTTGATCCCATGATCCTGTCCTCATGAGTGCTTCCCATCGTATAACTTTGAAATGTTCAGAATCTGTCAGTGTTATTTTAAGGTCCTTCTGAGAACCAGCACTGGTTCAGGGTCTGAATATCTCTACAGCCTCTCAGACCCTTGTTAAAGGGCAAGGAGTCTATAATTACTCCCTGTCTGGGACTCCTTGGTGGGTACAGTCTGACTCGGAACGACCCAGGGAACGGAACCAGAGCTAATTGGTGGAGTTAATTAAAGGATGGTCAGTAAGACCAGAATTTTATATCATGGTATAAACAGTTTGACACATTTCTACAGTCTCACGGTCACAGTAAAGACTGACTAGTCAGGAGGTCACAAAACAGCAAATGGCCGTAATATTAGACATTCAGACGTTCCCTGCCAACTCTTTCTTAGTTTCTAACAAATTCAGGGAGTGTTCTGAATATTTGAGCCCTTTAAATCATAGTTTATAAGGTGAAGTGCAGTTTCAAGGTCAGCTTCAAGGTTTAACTGCTTGTGTTACACAAACTTCAGTAAAGAATATTTCTGGGTTTCTGATAGTAGAACAAAACGGTAGATGCGGATATAATTATTATTATAACTATTATTATTTATAATAATAAACTATTATTATTTTACAAATATATTATACACATAATCTATTATTATTACTACTAATAATAAGAATAATAGTTTATTTGTATAAGGACTTAAAAACATTATCTTAGCTGAAAGGCTAAAATGGAGATGCTTCTCAGTTCCTAAGACTTTCTTTTCTTTTTTCTTTTTTTTAAAGGGAATTGAAATTGAATATACTTTAATTGAAATAACTAAAAATGTGGTTTCTCCTAACCCTGAAAATGCAGTAAAATATATTAAACTGGCGTTTCACACTTACAGTGGAAGTCTAATGGCAAGGCAACTGTAACTTCTGCTTATATCTAAAACAATGGACCAGTAAATCATTTCCTAATTAACATCACACTTCTAAACCTTGAAATGTCACCTTTTTGTGATGTCACAGGTTAATTTTGATTTACATTTTCAAAACGGCAACGCAAAAATAAACAACAACACGCAAAACATAAACAAGGAACGGATACTGTTGGCACTGCTTGAAATGTCACCTTTAAAAACCATATAAATGATCACATGGACTAAACCTTAGATGACCCTGAAAACAGGAACCGGAGAAGTTTATTGACATTGTGATGAAGTTTAATTTCAGCATTATGATGGTACAAAGGGCTCTAATGAAAACTTGAAATGCACTGCACAATCTCCTGCCACTAGCAGACCACCGAGACACTCAACGCAGACATACAGTTGTGTGTGCGCTTTGAGCCTTTGACCTCTCAGACTGACTCCTGTGGCTTTCTGTCCTGTTGTAGGATCTGGTGTCCTTGTGCAACTTTCACAACTATGACAACCTGAGGCACTTTGCCAAGAAGCTCGATCCTCGCCGAGAGGGAGGAGACCAGCGGGTGAGTGTCCTTTTCTATTTGCCAGCCAGCCTTGCCCTCCCCACGTGCCCCATCGGAGCGTTACACCACGTCGTGTATGATTGACGGCACATAATAATTTACTTAAGACTCTGAAGCTGAGAATACTGCAGAGAAAGCTTATTTCCACTAAACACCTGGTACAAGGCCCAGAGTCAGGCATGCACTAACACCACGCCCCCTGCTGGAGCATTGAGACACAGGGCTTAAAGTATTCCGGCACCGTGCCGGATCTCCGGCGTGCGGCCGTGAGGGGAAAAAAAAATTGGGAACTTGCATGCAGTTTAATATTTTCGAGTCAATTGATTTCACCAACCAATCATTATGAGAGGATCGCAGCTCTAACTAACGTTACAAGCCTATCAGAAGCAGAGCAGGGCGGGTCCTGGCAACACAGTGTGGTTGAGATCCATACGTCGCATTAGCGTCGTCGGTGAAAGCATGGAGCGCAAGTTCATAAAGCCCGGGGATGATGTCTTACCCACGGGTGTAATTTCCCATTGTGGACAGGGGGGACATGTCCCCCCCACTTTCAAATTCGTTTGTTATTATTTTTAACCGCATGCCGTCATTGCCACGGAGGAGCAGGACCGAGCCTGTGTAAAATAGCTCACTGAAAGTTCTAATGAGCAGGTATAGCGGTTGCGACCATAGACTATAAAAAAATTAATTGAAAAAATTGTAATCATTAATAAAATAAATCATTTTCATCGAGACATCAGTAGCTATAATATTAGTGATACCGGTTTTCATTCATAAAAAGATGCCATTAAGATACAGCTGTAATACTTGAAAATAAATGGTGCCATTGAAGATAAGTCCGTCTGAACCAAACCAAAAAAAGTTCAGGCTCAGGAATTTTTTCACTTTAACCCCTGTGTGACACTACATACCTAGTAAGCTAGCTATATTACAACCCAAAGAGTTTTGTTGGTTTCGGCTGTTTTTGCTGTTCTGTCGTCTCACTGCATGAGATTTTAATTTTGCATGTTGAGTGCTACCTCATAATTTCCCGTTTTATGCCGTTTTAGCCAAAGAGATTTTTGTTTTTGTTTGCTTGCTTCAGTCTGCATCCTCAGATTCATAATCAGCAGGCCCAGATGGAATCTGTAGACTTTTTCCACTCTTGGAAAATCTGTGGAATGAATTATAACATGGTGTAACGCATAGCTGAGAATACTTCTTTTTTCTAAAAATAGGAATATTTAAACCTAAATACAGACCGATTTTAAAAATAACAAAAATCAATGTAGAGACAATTTTCCTGTTGTAAAAAGTACTAAAAATGAAAAAAAACTTATTTTACAGATTCGTGCAAACCCAGTTATTTAATAATAATGTGATAAATACAATAATGCACACACACACACACACACAAACATATATATACTGTATATATATATATATACATATATAAATGTGTGTGTGTATTTGTGTGCATTCTTGTATTTATCATCATATTCTATATTATTTGTTATATTATTCAATCTAAAATGTAATAAAATTGAACTGTTATTAATATTTAATGTGATCTATGTACATCCGCTTCATCTGAAATCTGCGTGCACAGATTCCGTGTGGGACTGGTCATCAGTTAATAATCATGACTTACTGACTACTGACACCTAAATGAGGCTTGTGCAATTTCTGTGATAAGACACACCTGTTTTGACATTTTCCCAGCTGTGTGAATACAAGGGCGGGCTCGCTTTGTGATTGGATGTTTGTTTTTGTTGACTTTGAAATCTTTTCACACATCACCATATTGAACAGTGTGAGTCTCACACTTTCCCTGGAGGCCCCTAAAAAAACTAATCTGTTCTCCGTGTTGCTCAGCACAGCAGCAAATCTTTGGACCCCTGGATTGCGAGAGCCTTCAGAAAGAGCTGGCTCTCAAAGACACTGTGTGGACAAAAGTCTCGCCCACTGAGTGCAATGAAGACAGCTCCACTACTGTAGTCTATAGGATGGAGAATGTCGGAGATGGCAACTAAAACTGACCTGAATCACCTCGATGAGCTTTTTGACAATATATTTTTATGTAAATTAACAGTTATTTATTTTCAATGAATCTCATTCTGGACACGTGTATGGTTTGTCACCAGTCTCACTGTATCTTTCTCAGTGAATATGAATGACTATGGTTGAGGATATGGACTTGTGTGCCTTGGCTTCTGTTTTATCTATCTGTGCTGACGCCTAAAGCAATACAGCTTGGTGGACGTTAAGTGCAGTGTGATTTATAGGCTCTGTATTCTCTCAAAGACCAGCAGTTGTTTTTTTTTTGGTGGAAGTTTAGGATTGGCTGCTGATTGGACACTGCAGGTGGTTCTGTTTTTTATTACAGTTGCATGTTGTGGTCATGCATAATTGACCGCCTCTTACCACACATAGAGTCTTTCAGTGTGGCCTTTAACCTGATGGTGTCACGAGCACATGAATGTTCTGCAGGAAGCACTGTACAGGTGGCCGGAAAGGATGACCTTCAGTCAGAATTACAGCAATAGCTAACCCAAAAAGAAAAATTCAGTCATTATTTGCTTACCCTCATGTTGTTTTGACCCCATATGTAGTTGTTGTTGTTGTGGTTTTTCTGTGGAACACAAAAGTACTTTCAAAAATTTAAAATGTTAGTTTATCATACTAAGTTTCGATTAGCGCCTGAAGTGGTTTTATTTTTGGAAAGATGCTGCCCTTATCAGTAAGTTTTTAAGTATTATATATATTTTTGTTTTTATATGCGTGTTGCTAAAGTAAAGCAATAGTGCATCCAAAAAATAAAAATGTAGTATTTACTCGCCCTCATGTCATTTTGACCCTGTATGTTGACTTGCAGTGGAACACAAAAGTACATTTTTGAGGAATTTAAAATTTATGCAGCTTTTTTTCCCATACTTCATCCAAAATACCCATAAAATAACAAAATGTGTCCATCTCACTATGTTTTAAGTCTTCTGAAGCTATATACTAGCTTTTTCTGAGGGAAAAGAAAAAGAATAACTTATTCACTGAAAATCTTTTGAAAATGGCTAATTTTCTACCTATTCTTCACACAAAACTATTATATGACTTCAAAACACTTGGGGCCCTATCATACACCCAGCGCAATGCAGCGCCAAGCGTGACGCAAGTGTTTTGCTAGTTTCAGCCCGACACAGTTATCATTTTCACATCCTGCGCCACGTTGTTTAAAAAGCAAATGCATTTGCGCCTATTTGTGCACCCATGGGCGTGCTGGTCTGAAAACGATGTGTGTTCAGGCACACTGTTGCACACTGTTAACTGTTGGTGCGTTGCTATTTTGAGGCAACTAAAATAGACTGCGCCATTGAACAACAAAAACCTGGTCTAAAGTCAATGGCGCAATTTATTTATTTTTGTTATTTAAAGAGCGCGTTAGTAATGTGCGCCTATAGGTGGGTCCACAACACGCGTACACTCTGCTTATTACACACACAGGGATGTAATGTGCAGCACACAAAATAGCCAAATATTAAAAATAAAAGGATTACAATGTAAAGGATTATTATTGTGTACATAAAGATATGGTGGAATCCGGCTTGTCCTGTAGATGGTCTGCTTTAACCTCGCTCACGGGCAGATCGGTTTGTGCTCGGGAGAAGCGTTCAGTCTTTCCACTTGCAAATTCCGCCATGTAAATAGCGAATCCGCCATGGCGCCAGCGCAAATGCTTTTTAAAGGGAATGAGAGATGAGACTCTGATTGGTTTATTTCACGTTATGCCCAAAACACACCCATTACTCATTAAAGGATTAGTTCACTTTAAAAAAAACTTTTGCTGATAATTTACTCACCCCCATGTCATCCAAGATGTCCATGTCTTTCTTTCTTCAGTCGAAAAGAAATTAAGGTTTTTGATGAAAACATTCCGGGATTTTCTCCATATAATGCACTTTGCTGGGCACCAAACGGTTCAAGGTTCAAAAGACAGTTTCAGTGCAAACTGCAAACTGTTCAAATGGCTTTAAACGACACCAGACAATGAATAAGGGTCTTATCAAGCGAAACGATCGCTCATTTAAAAAAGAAATAACAAAGTTTAAGTTTTATAAGCTCAAATGCTCGCCTTGCACTGTTCTGTGTGACTCTCCTGTTCGAACTCGTTCATCAAAATGAACGAATCTTTTTCCGAGTCAATTTGTTCATTTCGTTCGTTAAATGAACCAAATGACTCGAAAAAAGATTTGTTCATTTTGATGAACGAGTTCGAACAGGAGAGTCACGAACGTGCATCACAGAACAGAGCAAGGCGAGCATTTGACATTATTAAACTTAAACTTTGTTATTTATTTTTGAAATGACCGATCGTTTCGCTTGATAAGACCATTATTCATCGTCTGGAATCGTTTAAAGCCATTTGAACAGTTTGCAGTTTGCACTGAAACTGTCTTTTGGACCTTGAACCGTTTGGTGCCCAGCAAAGTGCATTATATGGAGAAAAATCCTGGAATGTTTTCATCAAAAACCTTAATTTCTTTTCGACTGAAGAAAGAAAGACATGGACATCTTGGATGACATGGGGGTGAGTAAATTATCAGCAAAAGTTTTTTTAAAAGTGAACTAATCCTTTAAGAGAATAGGGACAACCCTTTTAGATACGCCGCGCGCGCCGACCATTTTTCCCGTCGTTAAACCTTCAAAAGTGGATTTGGACACGCCCTAAGAGCACCTGCGCTTTAGACCATGCACTTAGATCGTTAACATAGGGCCCTTGGAATGAAGTGCGCAAGTCATGTACTGTATATTTATATATTAGTGGTTGCACAGACTAGTTGACTATAGTCCTCTGCCATGACGCTTTAAGCTTGACTATCGACAAGTCTCTGATCATGACCTATAGAGGGCGCAACAGGATAAGAAATCTTTGAAGTCCACTTTTACAGATTGACAGGTTACTATCCAAATTAGTTACTGATTTTTACACGATGCGTTTCTACTGAATTGCTTGTCTTGATGTCTCCGTGTCGTAATGTGCAGTTCTTGTATCATAGAGCCCCACTAGTACTGCTCAGCAGCCAGATGAAACCTGCTATCAGGCTGTCTTTGCAGCCTTATTTAAGGTGAAATCAATAATGTTACAAACCTTCCACTGTTCCGTCTGCTCTGTCTATTCTCATATATTATTGCTAAAAACATTTATGCACCTTGATAATTCAGAATGTCGGTTTATATCAAACTAAGCTTCGATTAGCTTCTGAAGTTGTTTTATTATTGGAAAGATGCTGCCCTTATTAGGTTTTTAAGTATTATATATATTTGTTTTTTATGTGTTGCAAGAACATCTTTTAATTTGTTTTAATTAATTATATATACATATATTATGTTGTAATCAAAATTATTCAACCCCCATTGCAAATCAGATTTATTGGCAAAATTTACAGACTTTTCAGCTGTTTGAACAAATCAAACAAAAGTAATAGAAATAGCTCAACACAACAAATGTTTTAGTGGATTCCCCAAATTCAACTGAAAATGCAACTTTTAATGACTTCTGCAGTCTCAAAATTATTCATGGCAAGCATCTTTAGTACTTAGTAGAACACCCTTTTGCTGTTATGACCTGCTGCAAACGAGATGTACAACCAGACACCAGCTTCTGGCAGCGTTTCTGGGGAATCTTAGCCCATTCCTCATGAGAAATGGCCTCCAGTTCAGTGATATTTTGGGGTTTTGGGTAGTGTAACCACTGTTCCTTTTAACTTTGAACTTGCGAACTTGCTTTGAACTAACTTTTTTGTATTCTGTTCCTTGTATGTGAAGGGCGATGATAACTTTTCGTAACTTTTTGGACCATTCTATATTTCTAACATGCAGTCAAACGTGACACTCAACAAACCTATCCAGTGTTCTAGCTCTAACACCTGGTGCAAATAATGAAGCCCTTGATTAGTTGCATTGGGGGTGGGGGTGTCACAGTGGATAAGACACATGCCTTTGGTGTGAGAGACCCGGGTTCGAATCCACTGTGAGACACCAATGTGTCCCTGAGCAAGGCACTTAACCCCTAATTGCTCCAGAGGCGTGCGACCTCTGAAATATAGCAATTGTAAGTCGCTTTGGATAAAAGCGTCAGCTAAATGAATAAATGTAAATGTAAATGTAAATGCATCAGGTGTGCTTGAGACAACACCTGTTTTGCAGATTTGTGCTGTGGTGAGGGATTCTATTCATTAAGTTGCATTTTCAGTTGAATTTGAGGAAACCACTTGAAACATTTGTTGTTTTGAGCTATTTCAATGACTTTGATTTGATTTGTTCATTGCAAACAACTGAAAGTCTGTACATTTTGTAAATTACGATTTGCAATGTGGGTTGAATAATTTTTATTACAACTGTGTATATATATTGACATGTGTATACATATTAATGTTTACATTATAAATTATTTTTATTTTCATATAATTTACTATATGCTTTCACAAGCTTGTGTACAGTATATTTGCAGAAACTGTTGTGGGCTTTGTTGCTTAGTTTCACTATTTTTGTGTGTGTGTTTTTGTATTATTTTTTTCATGTCATGGTCTTATGCTGCTTCAGTCATATGCTTTTGAGGAGAAGTGTTCTCATGATCTTACTGACAGCTTAAACAGTCAATATGAGTTTATCGCTTGAGGAAGCTGCTCGCTCTGATTACTTGAACTGGTCTGATTCCAACAGAACGGCTGTCAGAATTCTTCATCACAATATATATTCTCATCTGATTTCACTCATAATGTCATAACAGTTCTGTTTATTTTCTCATTGTGTATCTATGTCATTTGTTCTGGTTTTCTTTTTTGTATCATTAATAAATGCATTTAATATCATCACATTGTTACTTGAAATCAATTGCTTTCGCTTTTGTTGCTGTTTTGGAAAATGATGAAGGGACACTATTTTATTTATTTGTTTTCTAAAGTGTGTTTCTCAAAAAAAAAAAAAAAAAAAAAATCATCCTTGATTGCAAGAGTGCCATAGTTTTACTTAAAAAAGGCCTATTTGACCACAGCCTGCAAGAACACCACAGGTTTATGACTCCTGGACAGCTTCAAAAATCCTCAGCACAAAAACATAACGGAAATTATCTCTATGAAAGGATTCCCATGTTCATGGAAAATATGGAAGTTGCAAGGAATTTTCAAATCGTGATGTACATTTTTTTTTTTTCCAGGCCTGAAAAGTCATGGAAAATAAAATATAAAATTGTGTATTATATATAAATATAATTATAAAATTGTCCTTTTTTATTATATTTATACAAAATATTTTCTTATCTAGAAGATGATCTTTTTTTTTAAACATTTTTCAAAAATCTTTATTCAGTAATGATGCGCGACTGGAAAGGGCATGTGAATTCATCACTCAGAAGGTGGGGACTGTTTTTATTATTTATTTATTTTAGAGCTGCTGTCCAGTGCTGCTCTGCTGCCTTCTGTTGTGCATCAGTATTGAATTAACGTTTAGTCTGTCTTTGAAATGTCTTGTTTTGCACATCATGTTCTCATTGGCATAAGGTGATGAAAGAACCTTCCGTTGATCCTGTTGAGAAATGAAGCTGTGCAGGAACAGCAAGCACATGAAGCACCCCTGTCTAAACCTGAGGTTCCTTTGCTAAATAGTGATGCTTTCCACATTTTGGACTTCCTTGTAGTCAACTTTCTGACTATATGAATCTGTATGAATTTATTTATTTATTTACATTTGTTATTAATTTTTTTCATTAGAAAAGATTTAATTCATCTTTTGTTATCTTGATGTACAGTTACGTTCCAAATGCCTGATTTTGAGACCAATATTAAGATCTGAAGATCATCATTTTACTCCTCATATGTAGTAGTTGATGCTTTGGGATGAAACGGTATGTTCATTTTTTATTTAGCCAGCTTCTCTAATGTGAATCTAAACACTGACTCATGTTACATGTTCATTCATACATCAGCGGTTGTGGGTCACATGCTGATGGCACACTGCAACTTGATACACTGACATCTATCTATCTTGCTTTCTTTCTCATTTACTAGCTTCCAACAGCCTAGCAAGGGCCTTCAAAGTGACATAAATATAACATTCAAAATGACCGTAAAGCAGTTTTAAACATTAAATGCAAGTTTGTCTTGCTCTAGTTGACTTCATCTGAAATTAGCATGCACATTTCTGGAGAATGAGGATTACACATTATAGCAAACAGGAATAGTGGCCTTTTTTCAATTTAAGACATTACACACTGACTTGTATGTAATTAGATTGATAGAGGTTATAATTAAACACACACGCAATAGGACTGACATTTCTCGGATGATCTTTTGGGCCAAAGACACTGACACCTTCTCCCACTTTATGACTCACTCTATGTCTGGAAAGGAAAGCGAGAATACGGAATATTTTAAGATAATAAGTAAATTGTTTACTTAAAATAAATATAATTTAACTTATTACTTCAAATGGTTCAATTAAGTCGTAATTATGTTACTTCTTCTGTTGTAGTTATTTTTTTATTTCATACATTGTAGGCCTATTTAATTTTAATTGGATGTTTATCGTTGATAAGTATAAAAAAATCACATAAATCAAAGTTTTAAAAGGATAATAACTATAAAGATATCGATAAAGATATAGTTTTTCTTTTATTGAGAAAATCATTCTCAATATTAAAGAATAGCAGAGTTCACACCAAAGCTATAACTATAACAGCACAGAGAAACGATATCATTGGAATCACTTTCCAAAAGGTTTTTTCCAGCTGATGAACGCTAAAAACATTGACAGCCAATCAGCAGATGACGGTTTTGTAGGGATATTCAGAACTTTTGGGTTATGATAGAATAAGAACTTAATGTTATTCTCCCAATATATGTTGCTTGGGATATATGATGACATTATTGCAGACAAACAATGTCATATTTCACAGGAGGTGGGATCCAGTCTTGATATATATGGATTTAAATATATCCTCTATTCTTACTAGAGGGTTTGTTTAATGACGTTTAAATATGTAAGGGATATTCAAGTGTAAATATAATATGGAAGGCATATTGTTTGTACAATCATTTAATTTTCTTCTTTCTTTCACCTTTTTCAGATTGATTTATTGGAGTGGTGAGCCATAATAATATTTTTTTTCTTTTTTTTCCCCTCTGTGTTGTTCTCTTGTTCACATTTATGTTATGTTTGTAATGCCTGAAAATTAATAAACACATTTATATTTAATTTTTTTTAAAGCAGCAGACGACAAACCTGCAGCGCGAGCTTAGAATAAACAGAGCGGTATCATTCTTCGGTGTGAACGCTATACTTAGTTATCTCTTTATAGCTATCATTCTTGGTGATAACGGGCTTTTAAACTATGTCCCAACATTTGGGAACAGGGTTATTAACATTTTCCCCGGTCACATAAAAGTTTGAGTAGCCAATCTGAATGTATCATTAAGCATTAATGTTTGTCATCTTTTCTCTGTTTTTTTATGTACAGTTTTATTTAGTGTTAAATTAAAATGTTTATGTGTTGTAAAAATTATCCAGTTTGGATGTATTCGAACATCTGATGGTTATTCTTCTTATTGGTTTGGTTGGTTTATGATTACGTTTTTGTACAAAACCTTAATAAGAAGGGCAGAAAAAAAATGCACAAAAAATATTGCAGCAAGATTGGCACTTTTTTGTAAGTCTTGTTTCTGTCTTGGCATTTGAGGTTTGCTGACTAACATGAAGGGTTGCTGATGCCCCCTAGCGGTGCTTTTCTGTCTCTCACAAGCTTAGTTTAAAGAGTTAGTTCAACCAAAAATGAAAATTCTGTCAGTATTTCTCACCCTCATGCTGTTCCAACCCCGTAAGACTTTCGTTCACCTTTGGAACACAAATGAAGATATTTTTGATTAAATCTGAGAGTTGTCTCACTCCTCCATATGCTTCTATTGTAATTGAAAGTTAGTAAAAACATCGTTAAAATAGTCCAAGTGACTACAGTGGCTCAATATTAAATTTATCAAGCGACGAGAATACTTTTTGTACAAACAAAAATAACAACTTTATTCAACTACCGTATTCATCTTCTACTGTGTGGGCCTTCTGAGTGAGTTCACGTAGTGTAACAGCGCACCGCTACGTCAGAACGTAGGCTCACTATTGGCCAGCATCACACTCATGACCAGCCTCGGCCAATAGTGAGCCTACGTTCTAAAGTTTGCATGGGATTTTTTTTCTTCTTCTTTTTGCATGGCTTGCTTGTTTGTTTTATTTTTATATAATCAAATGCTTCTTAATACTAAATTTATCCTGCTAATAAATCAAATTAAGTCATGTTTTGATTGAGGCAAGGGTCTTAAAGTCCCCATGAATTCAAAATTGACCATACTTACTTTGTTTGCCTAAATTGATCGTTTTGTGGTGAACAATTCATCCATGCAAGTCAATCCACACAAAAAAATTTTTGGCTTCGTAATCTTTAATCAAAATCTGAAATTTCCCCTCCCCTCTGCGTTGGAGGACCTTGCCTGATGACGTAGGTTTCACGGTTTGGGCGTCTTCTTAACATCCGTAACCACGCCCCTCCAACTGACAGTAGACAGGCTGAATGAAAACACCTACTTTTCTAGATCCAATCAGGTGCTAGTTGGGAAAAAAACCACGGAAATACGTCACAACACTGGAGAAAAGTCGTTTGCAACTTCCGGTTCACGGGGACTTTAATATGAAATATTAATCAGCTCGACAGTTTTCAACATTGATAATAAATAAGAAATGTTTCTTGAGCAGCAAATCAGCATATTAGAATGATATCTGAAGGATCATGTGACACTGAAGACTGGCTGCTGAATAATTCTAGAAATGTCCATAACTTTTACCATGTAAAAATCACAGTAATTGCAAACCACTGGAAGAGTCACAGAAATTAATTGTTTAGAAGTTGCCTAATTAAAAAGTAATTTGAATTGATTCTATATGCATATTATTATATGCTAGGCTTAAAATGCAACACTCAATTTGTTCCTGTCTTTCCACCTGAAAAAGGTTTGGGTTTAGGTGTTTGTGTTTCAATGCACTTAATTGAAGTTGCATTTTTGATTGATGTTTCCTCTCACTAGTTCTCTGTTAATTTCTGTCCACTAGAGCTAAAGGAGACGCTCTGGAGGCGTCCATTTCTGCCCACCATCTGTCCATAATAACTTATTTCTATTCCACAAAGGCTCTTTTGTATCATTCCAGGTGAAATCTGTCATCAACCTCCTCTTTGCTGCCTACACAGGAGATGTGTCAGCTCTGAGAAGGTACTGGGTTCTTTATTGCCTACAAGTCTTTATATTGTTTTCTATTCTACTTTGTAACATTTCCCTTATGGTGACTCCAGGTTTGCACTGTCCTCCATGGACATGGAGCAGCGGGACTATGACTCCAGGACAGCGCTTCACGTAGCAGCCGCTGAGGGTACAACACTGCACATGCTGTCACTTCAGTTTGTCACTTATTAGGGCTCAAGAAACATTGGTATCTGTTAGTTTGGTTTATATTACATCTGTTGGAATCTGATTGTCTAATGTATTATAGTCTTCAGATATTATATCACTGGGGAGTTATCCAGATGATATTTCACTCTTCTGTCTTCTAAACTCCAGTCTGTGTGTGTAAAAAATGTCTATATATATATTCCTTTTGATTTTAGGACATGTTGAAGTTGTGCGTTTTCTGCTAGAGGCCTGCAAGGTGAATCCTGGTCCCAAGGACAGGTGAGAAAAAACACTCTCCAACATTCAACCACCAATACCTGGTTCATTTACTTTAGATTTTTAGAGTAAACATTCACTTTCTTAGCCTTTTTATTCAGAAATTAAAGTTGCAGTCCGTAGCTTTTCCTCTTTGTCGCCATCTCTCTGTTCGAAATCTGTAACTGCAGTGATTCGCGGAATTATCATCTTTACGTGGGTTGTAAATCGGCATGAAACAGCGCGGATGAACACAGTGCTTTGAGGCGAGTGCTGCTGTCAGTCACCGCGCTGTGTGGATACTGTCATATACAGAATCACAGATTCACTTTTTGAAAGTTTGACCAACATAAGAATTTTCATAAGAAAATGTCTTCTGAACAAGTAAGTAACATCCATTTTTGTTCTGACCAACTAAGGGGGGAAAAGCATTCGACATGTTAAGCTTCGTTAGATTTAATCAACGTGATTTACAGCAACCGTGCAAATTATAGCCTACTTTGTTCTCAAATTGTTCATGTTAACAACATCACATCAGCATTGCGTGACTAATGTTAAATTTAATGTGTTTTATGGTTCCCTGTGTAGTTCAGAATTCATATTCTCCATAATAGCAAAACGAGAAAGGCACAACAAAGGAAACTCCATAACTGTGTGAATTAAGAAAACGTACTGTTACACGATTGAACTATTGAAATGTCTTACTTGTTCAGCAGAAAAAAGCCGTCTCTTCTACCGTTTTGAACCCCTTTAAAACACGGAGTTCACGAACTTTTCAAAAGCCCCGCCGATGTTTAAATCCTTGTGTTCGCATGAGACGGTTTCTTTCTCTTTCTCTAGCCACCTTAAATCCGAAGTACGAAGTCTTTTGGGTTTTATAACTGCTGAATCTCCAGTTGACACTGATGATTGTTGTTTGGATCTTTCTGGATGCCATAAGTTTAATTATGTAAAGTGCTGCGAGAAAAGCCTATACATCTAAACATCTCGTCACGCGCAGTATAGCCGGCTAGCCGAAACTCCTTCTTTATGTGTACGGGTGTGACGTAATGACGCAAAGACATGCTCGAATTTCCCGCGGAAACCCACCAGTACCACTGGAATTAAAATCATTATTACAAGCTAACCGTTTTGAATCTAGCTATGGCAAGCAGATAGTTTTGACCACTGGCAGAATACGTTTTTTTTAATATAATTATTTTGGATTATTTTTAACTTAAAAAAGCTACGGACTGCAGCTTTAAGGGACTGTATTTTAAGTAATTGTACACACATTCCACTCAGAATTACATCAGTGAATGTTTTGAATGAAGTAGTGTTATATATTATCAATTAATGAATGTTATGTATAATGTATATATATAAAACTTTATCTGGTGATGAATTTTACACAGGTAAAAGTAAGAAAAGCAAAAACTAAAAAAGGACAAACATAGTACAGTCACATAACGCATAGTACAAAGAGGTTCCACAGCCTTTCAACATAAATAAGAAAAAAATTGCTTAAAAATGAGGCAGAAGGATACAGGATATTTTATATGTAATTTATATTATTATTATTACCATTGTCACCACTGCCATAATATCATAAATCCAAAAAAGGGAGAGAAAGAGAAAAATAAACATTTTTAAAAGTTATTTATATAATTTTAATGTGTATATACATTCATATTTTATAATTATTTATATAATAATAATTATTTTGAATAAATATATTTTACATTTCTCATAGGAACATACATCTCCAATGTTGTGAAAATGAAGACATATTAAAGGGATAGTTCTCCCAAAAATGAAAATTAGCCCATGATTTACTCACCCTGAAGCCATCCTAGGTGTATATGACATTCTTCTTTCAGACGAATACAATCGGAGTTATATTAAAAAAATGTCCTAACTCTTCCACGCTTTATAATGGGAGTGTGGCTGGAGAAAATTTGAAGCTTGGAAGAGCCAGGACATTTTTATATATAACTCCGATGGTATTCGTCTAAAAGAAGAATGTCATATACACCTAGGATGGCTTCAGGCCAGGTGAGTAAATTATGGGCTAATATACATTTTTTGGTGAACTACAGTTTTAAATTACAACACTTAAAAGGGTTAAAGTACAATATTAAATAAAAATATTACAGAGCAAAAATAGATAGTAAAATATTTCTGCGGTAATAATAATATATTATTATACATTATACAGTAATCAAATGACTGGAAGAGTCACGGAAACCTTGAAAATGAAATAACTTCTATTCCCTCCAGGTGGGGCAACACACCGATTGATGAGGCGACACATTTCGGTCATCATGAGGTGCTCACGCTTCTACAGGAGTACAGCAGTAAGTACAGCCCAGCGGTCAATCCTGTCGCAGATAAAGAGACCACCGAAAAAAACCTGGATGGGATGCTGGAGACGTAACCATTCCCGCCACTAGAGGACACTCTTCTGGAGCAGCCCAGTGAAGGACTGGTTCTTCACAATAGCATTGTGCTGTTTTTGTCCTAACTTGTGTAACATTTTTTTTGTTTTTTCGTTTGTCTATAGTAGTTTTTGTATGCTTTAGTGAGACATTTTTGGCTTGTTCTCAACTTCCTCCTCGCAAGTCAGGGTGTGAGTAGTGATGATGTCCGTATTCAGTGGTGTGAAACGCTCTCAATAGGCGCTGTAATTATATCTTCTATCGTGCAAGTGAAAAGGTGATTGAGGTGTGGATGTGAATGATTAAACAAATGCCATTGTTTTCCTGAGGGCAAACGGTTAAACATATTTATACAGTATAGATTTGATACCAAACAGTCCTGTTTAGTAAAGCCGTTCAAACAGGACACGTTCTTGCATTAAAACAGCGAGATCTGGCAAAATCACTCACGACTTTATATAAAAGCTTTTGAACAACATATAGCCTATTCCAAAGTCAGCATGAAAACGGTAGTTGTGATAGTCTTTTCTTCCCTGTTGTGACGTATACCGCGATCTCATGTGACAGGTTGATTATTTTTGTGATACTGACCAGCGATAACGAGATTATCCTGCTTATTACATGTCTACTCACCTCATACAGTACGTTGACCAATCAGAATTAAGTATTCCACCGGGCTGTGTAGTAATACAAAATATTGCATAATGCAAAAATGTGTCCTGAGTAAAAAAAGAGGGATTTATTTTCATAATATAAAAACATGCATGCACTCCTAGTAGAGAATAAAACTGTAGATAACTCTTTTTTATTATTATTTCATTATAGCACATTATTTAAACATTTTAACCACTGCCAAATTCATGTTATTTATGTTAGTCTATATGTATTCTTCAATGTATGCACAATCATATTTTAATATTAGCATGCAGGTCCCCGAAAGTACACAATGTTGCAATCTGAAAAATAAAACAATACATTTTACCGAGATGACATTAAGCTGTATGCAGTTTAAAAAAAAAAAATCCCATTATAAATAATATTTTGCCTACATCCACACCAGCTTGTTGTATACTATAAAAACTCTTTTATAACTACTCGTGTATAAATAAAAGACACCATGCATTTGTGCAAACATCTGAATCGATGAAGTTCATATAATTGATGAAGTGTTAAATTACTGTAAGTGTAGTTTCTAAAGACATTTGTTTTATCAGTGGAAATATGATGTCAAACCTGTTCACTCGGACCAAACACTTGAAGATTGTCGGTTAGTTGGACAAAAATGAAAAAGTTCATGTCAAAGTAAATGAATGTAAACTATTTTAAAGACACTTTAACTCTCTTCAGTATTCACTAGATCCAATCGGATTGAAGCAAATATTTTTTTTTCTGATTTATATTACACTGTATCTGGCTGACTAAAGTTGGTGTGTGTACATGTACAATTAAAGCAATGGTATATAAAGATTTAGCTTTGATGTGCAATAATTAATAAAATCTGTTGGTAATTAAAAGGGCGTGATTTTCTCATAGAAATAACCTCACTAAAGCAGAATTTCAGTGTTGTGTCCACTGTATTTATAACGTATATCTAAAGTAATAGCACAACAACCTCAACAATCAGTTGTCATGTTCAGAGCTGAAGCAGGATGAGTTGTGCTCCGAAATTAATAACCATGAGCAAAATCAAGAGATGTTTGTCTAACACAATAACAAGATTACTTTCCTACATTTATGCATTGGATCCAAAACAACTTCAAGGTATACATTTGATCAGTTCTCTGAGAATCAAACCCATGAGCTTGGCATTGCTAACTTAATGCTCTGCCAGTTCAAAGCATAAATCCATTAGATCAGATGAGTCCGGCAGAGCACATGATGTCCAGACGTGCTGTAGTACTGTCCTATATTTTCATCCTAGAGCTAAAAGAGAACCGAATTTTATTTTAGTCCAAAATTGTGTGTAAATTTCCAGGACAAAAAACCCACATACAAGAGTCTCAGAACAGATGCAGAATTGGAGGGTGAACTGAAACTGTAATGCACTGCCCGGCCAAAAACTAAAAGTCACTGTTTGGAGACCTTATGGTGGACTCTTCCATTGTCAATACAAGATCTTGACCAAAAATGTATCCACCTCTTAATGGAAATTTTCCACTTTATTATGAGGCGATTTATTTTGGGATTTGTGCTTTCTTTTGCATGCCAAATATGGCACATTACAAAAGTATGAAGTGCATAGGCCTACTGTATATGTAAATGTAAGTCTCTACCATCAGATGCGCTGGTATAGTAGCGACCAAAGGCGACGTCTCTTGGGATGTCTGGGTAAAGGTAGACGAGGGGATTCACTGGATCCTCCTCTCCAGCGGTGACGGTATAGTCACGGATTAAGTTCGGTAAAGGGATTCTGTTCATATCTGCCCTAGTGTACGGCTTTGTTGAATGGACCCCAGGTTCACCTGTGCTGACAAGATAATCTCATAAGAGACATTTCAAAAACCAAGATCTTTGTCAGAACAATATTCCAGTTCAAACAAGCACAAACCGTCCTGTGAATGCTCCACCCATGTGATGGTGATTCCTCCTCCTCGACAGCTTTCACTGAAGCGCAGAAGGAAAGTGCCTGGGAGTTTGTCTATCAACAAAGCCTTCTCTCTCTCTTGACTCAAAAAACCCATTATATACCTGTACATAATGAAAGTAGACCATATTTTCTTTATATAAAAGTGTCCATCTGACTCATGCACTATCCACCTTATTTTACAATGCAGAAGTAAAGTATTTTCTGTGATGCGCATGACTTTCGAGTCATCACCCGCTATAGGTAAATAACCATAAGAATAACAAAGTGGTTATTAAACATAATTTTATGTGGTTATTTTACATAAACGGTAAAACTATTTGCACTACAAACCAGTGTTTACAATTACGACAATACAAACAATACGAACAGCCTGATTATTAAGGTCCCTCCCAAATCTCAAAACTCATTGAACATTTTCCGCCTCAAGGCTCATTGAGCCAGTTTTGATATCAAATGTTTTGGACTTCGTTCTTACCCATCATTCCAGATGCTGAGAACATATGATTTAGTAAGTTGCAGATGCTCATATATCCAGTGCAAGAGTGAACCACCACTCTCAACATCTAGAGATGAAGACATCTAGAGATGAAAACAAACAAGTTATTCTATGGTATATATTGTAATATAATGTAAAACATATTGCTTTAATTAAATTGTTATTTATCAAGTTATTTTTAACACCACAAAGATTCTCACACATACACATGCATACATTATATATATATACAATTATTAAGGACATTTTATCTCTTCTTTACAGTATCATTTTCTCACTCAGTTTTATTTTATCAGTAAATCATGTGCAGACAAACAAAGGCAAGGTTGGTTAAAGAAAGCAAAAGCAACTTTCATGTCTTTGTTTCAATCATTTGTATAAAAATTACACTGAACAATGTTTTCCAGTGGACGAGTCCCTCTGGGTCATCTTGGGTTTCATGACCTGAAAAAACAGATGGGACATCTAAATGTTCTGTGCATTTAACTATAAGCATTTACTACAAACAAAAGTACAATAATGCTGTCTTTACGTGACTTCAGAGAAGGAAACTTGTAATTATGACTGGGAAGCTCGTTTTGATAACCAGGTTTGAAGGAGCCAACATGATGGGGAATTATTTATGGTTTCTATTTTTAGTCTAATTTTTAATCTTGTATCCAAATACTGCCAACTTGTTAGCTCTTGATGTTTCAGTCACTTACTGCATTTAAGTATATCAGTAACTTTTTATGCATATTGTACATTTTTCACAAGGGACAATGGCATGGATTTAAATTTGAAATCTGCTTCAGTAAACCTGGTTTTCGTGATTCTGACAACAAGGCATTTGAACCCAAAAAACACGCAATTACGACTTCAGAAGTGTGAAGTGGGATATTTCCGATAGGTGACATTAAAAACTCACCAAGAAGTTTGTCGGCCAGCGTTCTCAGCTGCTCAGAGTTCAGCGCTCGTTTAGTGACAGAAGAAAACTGCCAGCTTATGACCTTTGAAAGCTGCTCCCATTTCACTGGTGGCGGATTCAAGAAGAACGTCAGATTCTGAGACAGAGAGCGAGAGATGGACAGCGGGAGTCAGAATGGAAGCATCAGTAGAGGACAAAAACACTGATGATGGGAAACGGCCATACGTGGGGTTCACTGCAGAGCATGTTGTACCATAAGATGGAGCCCCAGGCACTAGCTAACATATGAAAACCGTTGATCAACACCACAGGAAGACATGTGATCTGTGTGGCAGTTACAAGAGTTTAATGTTGTACCTTTAACAGTAAGAAATACTGTATTTCAAAACTCTGCTTGTAGTAGAAAGCAAATCATGTTACCAATAAATCAATGCAAAGATCAGGCAGAATGAGCTGCGTGTCAAAGCTGATTAAGTGCAGCTCCTCATACACGGTGAGAGAGAGAGACCGCTGGAAAAAAAGAAAAAAAAAGCAAGCCACTTCAAAAGCAATATTCACTTAAGGTGACTTACATTTCTTTTATCCTACCTCATTTGTTCTGTTGCTAGGTCTTTTCTCATTTAAGACCTGTGTTAAAAAACGAGAAAAAATGAGTCATTATAAACGATCAGGTATTTATTATCTTTTGTAATATCCAAGTGTTTATCATCATACCAAATAAGGGAACTCAGCTGCAAGACATCTACTAGATTCATCCAAGTTCATAACTTTGATATGATTAGTTAACAACAAGAAATTCCGAAATCTAGAACATTACAAAGCCGGCCATTATGTCAATGAGCACCTGTGACATGCATAAAAGATTAAAAACATTGCTCTATATATGAATTTTAAATCATGGGCTATGTGCAGTGAGCTCATTTGTAATTAGCATTTACTTGATTTAATGTACAGTAATATACTTCATACCCTTTCACTGTATCCATCTCAGAAAAACCTCTAAATGAGAAAAATATGCATAAACATGCAGGTAGATATATAAACAGACAGACAGACAGACAGACAGACAGACAGACAGACAGATAGATAGATAGATAGATAGATAGATAGATAGATAGATAGATAGATAGATAGATAGATAGATAGATAGATAGATAGATAGATAGATAGATAGATAGATAGATAGATAGATAGATAGATAGATAGATAGATAGATAGATAGATAGATAGATAGATAGATAGATAGATAGATAGATAGATATTACTTACTTGTCAATCGATATTTTGACCTTGGGTTGACAGTTCAGTTCAGGAAGTTTGACTAATAGTCTATAGTGTTATAAAACATGAAAACGAAGGTCTTTTAAAATGAGTGGCAGTCTGTTGATATAACAGTAATGCTACAATGGAACCCACCTGATCTTGACTGTGAACTGAACTCCCATCTTCAACACCAAGGGTCTCTGGGGATGTGTGCGCATACACGGCTGTCTCTCCACTACAAGAGAACTGAAAGACACGTCGGTCTGGGTGTTTAATCGTTCAAAGAAATATTCAAATTCCCCCGTGAACCTTTAAACCCACAAATCCTCGTATCAATAACCAGCAGTTTGTCTTTCTGCAGCTTGTGCTAAAGACATATAAAGGGAAGAATAGTGACAGTGGTTTGTCTCACTTTGATATAAGGTTTTTGAAGAGTGAAAGTGCCTGTTCATCCAGCTGGCTCTTTCTCAGAGTGAGCGGGTCGTTGTTGTAGGTGAACTTCTGCACCAGTTCCTGAACTTTCTGACGGATCTGCTGCAGACACTCTGCCACCACTGTGAACCTGCAGCACAAATACAATTCATTCCTTAACTCACCCAATCATAAACATAAGGCAACATGTTGTTCTGGGCAATAAATAATAAAAAATAGTAATGCAAGTATATACACATAACTTCAGACTTTTAATTAGTGAAAAGAAAGATTCCTGTGTCTTTTCATTTACAAAGACTTTAGTTCTGGACAACCACTCTAATCTGAACATACAGTTATTTTTAAATACTTTAAAAAAAGGAAAATTCCCCCATTATTTCTCACCCACATGTTGTTCCAAACCCAATCGAATCATTAAATCAGTTAAGAGCCGGATAATCAGTCAGATTAGTGAATGAATGCGTTTCCCATGATATACTTCCCACTACTTCCCTCGTGGATCATTATAGATGCGTCTAGATAGATATAGTGAATATAGTGAGATATTTTAGTTAGTTCCTTGCAAAATGCTATCATATTGCTTTAGAAGACTTGTAATATGGGGCACAAGGCATACAGACTGCTGTTATGATAGGTTTTTTTTTGTCATTCTGGAGCTATTTGCCCCAGTCGTTAATCAATTTCAATACATTGAAAAGAGTGGCTCATCATATTCTTCAGAAGTTTTTTTCAAGATGGCGTTTCAATACATCACTTCTACAAGATGGCGTTTCAACACATCACTTCTGGAAGATCTAGACTTCAACGCATTTATCAGAATAGAGTGGGCATCCTTCCTTGAGATAAACGAGTCTCCAGACATCTCACCAACAATCTTATGGGAAACAGCCAAAACCGTATTAAGAGGTAAAATAATATCATACTCATCATACAAGAAAAAAAAACAACGAGAATTGGAATACACCTTAGAGCTCAAAATTAAACAACTAACAAGTCAATATACCAATAACACTAATACTGAACAAACACAAAATGAATTGAGCCAACTTAAAACCCAACTAGAAATGATCACACATAAAAAAACACAATTCCTTATTCAACAACTTAAGTATGAAAATTATCAGTACAGTAATAAAGCAAATAAATATCTAGCAAACCAATTAAAACGCAAAAAAGAGAAAGCAATTATTCCATCCATATTCAATGCAACAGGTACCATAACCCACAATCCACAGGACATAAACAATATCTTTCATAACTTTTATAGCAATTTGTATTCCTCAAAGCACGAACCTAACCAATCAGATATAGACAACTTCTTAGACAAGCTGGACCTACCTACACTACCTAGAGAACAAGCCAACCTTCTAGACACACCACTTACTCCTGAAGAACTCTTTGTAGCCTTGAATAGAATGCCAAACAATAAATCACCTGGACCAGATGGATTCCCAGCCGAATTCTATAAACACTTCTGGGATATTCTATCACCACTATTTTATAAAGTGACTACAGAAATCAAAGATACTTCTACCATACCCAATCATATGAATACTGCTGTCATAACACTTTTATTAAAACCTGACAAAGATCCAACTCACCCTTCCAGTTACCGCCCTCTCTCGCTTATTAATACTGACTTAAAAATTATTACGAAATCCCGAGCAACAAGAATAGAGACAGTTACACCAAAATTAATCCACCCAGATCAGACAGGCTTCATCAAAAGCAGGAACGCTTCAGATAACCTCCGTAGACTCTTTAACTTAATCAATATATCACAGCAAGGACAAGACAAAACCATCATTGTATCTTTAGATGCCGAGAAAGCTTTTGACAAAGTAAACTGGACTTTTTTATTTAGCACACTGCGCAAGTTTGGTTTTGGAGAGTCGTTTGTCCATTGGATAAAAACACTCTACACGTCACCTAGAGCTTCAGTAACCACAAACCAGATCACCTCACCTAGCTTCACACTTCATCAGGGAACCAGACAAGGATGCCCACTCTCACCATCTCTATTTGCTATTTTCATTGAACCACTCGCGGCAGCAATACGACAAAATAATACAATTAATGGAATCCAGGACAACGGCTCACAACATAAAATTAGTCTTTATGCAGATGACTTACTACTTTATTTAAAAAATCCATCTGAGTCACTACAGGAAACATTTAACATTATTAATAACTTCTCAATAATCTCACACTACACAATCAACTGGAATAAATCAACTATATTACCGTTATCTCTGGATGCGTGGGATTCTGCTGTTCAAGACTCCTCCTTTCCTCTTCACACTGGCAATATAAAATATTTAGGTATTCATATTTCAAATAAGATGTCAGACCTCTTCCACCTCAACTATACCCCTCTGCTAAAAAAAATAGAAGATGACTTTAAAAGATGGACTAAACTTCCACTCACTCTCATAGGACGAATCGCATCTGTTAAAATGAAAACATTACCTCAGATCAATTACCTATTCTCAATGCTCCCCATCACCCCTACAGACAAATGGTTCAAAACACTAGACTCACTAACAACCCAGTTTTACTGGAAAAACAAAAAATCCAGAATCTCACTTTCAACATTACAAAACAAGAAATCACAAGGAGGCCTGGAAGCACCAAATTTTCTATACTACTTTCTAGCAAATCAATTACATATTTATTCAAATGGACTCAAAAGCACAAGTTAAGCAACCCATGGCTAGAATTAGAACAAAATCATTGTACACCCACGTCAATTGCAGACCTTGCCTTTTTACCACCTTCAATAAAAAAACTGAATTACTTTAAGTATATAACAATCTCTTCAACTCTCACAGCCTGGTGGAAAACTAATAAAATTACCAGATCACTTATAACACCTTGCAAATATACTCCAATTTGGCATAATCCAGATTTTAAACTGCATAACACTCATGTGTATTTCCCAGTATGGCAGCGCAGCGGAATCACCCACCTCCATCACCTATTTGAAAATAACCAACTCATATCATTCAATACACTAATACAAAAATACAGGGTTGGGAGAGAAGAGTTTCTACATTATCAACAACTAAAATCCTTAATTAAATCCAAAATTAATATTACCAATAACACATTACAAACCTCAAAATTAAGTGATGAGATAACAAAAATTACAGATACAAAAAACATGATTTCTAAACTCTATAAACTCATATTCAGTACAAATACCTCCGTAACACTCCCTTTTTTAAAATGGGATAATGACTTAGAGGCCTCTCTCAGCCCAGAAGTCTGGACACAAATCTGTAATAATATCTTCTCTATGACCACTAACACAAACTTGCATCTCATACAATACAAAACTATCCATAGAATACACCTCACTCAATACAAAATGTTTAAAATGGGACTGGTCGATACAGACATCTGTTCTCATTGCACCTTTGGTGCAATAGACAATTATCTCCATGCCACGTGGACCTGTCAACCAGTTCACTCCTTTTGGACAGCAGTAACAAACAAACTTTCCCAGATCCTGGGCTGCAGAATCCCACTATCCCCATCACTATGCCTACTAGGTGATACTACACAAAATTACCCTACCAAATACATATAAAAACCCACTACTCGTTTCTCTGGCTGTTGCTAAGAAAGTAATTTTTCAAAACTGGAAATCCAAGAATTCCTGTCACATCACCCACTGGATTAATTTACTTACAGAATATATTTCACTAGAAGAAATAACCGCTTATAAAACAAACAAGATATCAGCTTTTAATGATACCTGGGATACCTTCTTAAATTTAACTTAACTCTAATTTACCCTAAGACTAGGGCCACGTACATATCCAATAGAACCTTTGCTATAAACTTTGATTTTCTCTTATTATTTTAAGACACAAAATACCCTCTAATCATTTGGTTCTCTTCTTTCCTTTTTTTTTTTTTTTTGTCTTTTTTTTTTTTTGTCTCTCTCTCTCTCTTTTCTCTCTTTTACTCTACACAGTCACATTACATAACTATTATCATACAGTTACACCACTCATTGACTAGCTAAATCCCTTTTATTTATTATTATTTGTGTGTTTTTTTCTCTCCTTTTTTTTTCCTTCTTTTTTTTTTAAATTAATTCATTATTTTATTTTTTTATTTTTTTCTCTCATTATTTTATTTTATTTTATTTTTTTATGTATGTGTATACTGTTTCTGAACCCAAGTTGGGCTTGTATGTGTATGTTGTTTCTGGAAACAGTATACACCATATAGGTGTATGCTGTTTCTTGATCCCTTTAAAGGTTGCAGTTGTCATTAGTTCTGGGCAAGTGTGGAGCCTGGGGCCTTGAGATAGTACCTTCACTCCGTCTGCCTGTACTCTTTTGCCCTGCATCTCTGGTTTTCTGTCAGGTTAAGCACTACATGTATTACCTTTCTTAATGCATTACATTTCGAGATACATTTAATTGGTTGCTTAAAACAAGGAAAAACGAAAAACAAAAAACAAAACAAAAAAACACATAAGCCTAAGCAGGATAAGCGAGGCATGATCGTGGTGACCTGGGTTTGCATGGAGCTGGTTCCACGCTACACGTCTCGTTTTTTTTTCTTTTAATGCAACACACTAGCTGACATGCATATACATCTATCACGAGTAAGAAAAAAAAAAAAAAAAAAAAAAAAAAAAAGGGAAGGAAAAAAACACACACACACACACAAAAAACAACAACAACAAACAAATAGGGTAAGCATGGCATGTGTGTGACGGCCGGAGGTGGGGAGTGTTCTTGGTGGTGAGTGATGGGGGGTCCTTGGGCCCCAGGCTCCGGTGCACATCGTCTTATCGCCTATAGCCCATAGTAGTGTGTCTTGGCCAAGGGGAGATCAGAGACATCTTTTTTTTTTCTTTTTTTCTTTTTTTTTTTATTATCATATTAGCCTTAATTCTTTTTCATTTATTTATTTTCTTTTTTTTAATTTAATTTTTTTATTTATTATTATTATCATTATTATTACTATTTAGTTCATTTTTATCATGTCTGTTGTATCTGTAAGATTTTCTTCTGTTAAGTTATTTCCACTTGCACACTCAGTAATACATGCACACACACACACACACACACACACACACGCTTATGTATGTTATTTTCATGTTTACATGTTATTGTCTATGTATAAAAAAAAAAAATAAAAAAAAATAATAAAAAAAAAGTTTTTTTCACCTTTTTCAGACAATGAGATTGAGTAAAATGATGAAACAAGTTTTAGAGAACAATATCCTCAAGTGCTTAGTCACAGTGCTAAAGTTTACAAAGGGCAGTCTTAGTATTTGCAATGGTACTAACAGAAAAAGCAGCATAATAATGGCTCTCATTTGTTGGCCATTGCTTCTGCCCAGGATGCATTATGGGTACTAATTTATGGCATAAACAGCGCCTGCTAGAGGTTCTCACCAGCTCTGCAGCTGGTCCAGACACGGATTGGGCGGACCACCCATGCAAGCCATCTGCTGCCGCTTCTTCCACTCGGGTAACTCATCTGATATGAGTGTGAGCTGGATCTGCTCTGCTAGAGTCAGTACATTAGCCATTTCCTTTATCACCACCTGCACACACATTGAGTATACAGTGCTATATTAAAGGAATGCTACGCTGTAAAAAAAAATGTGATCAAAAAGTTACAACAACATGGTTTTACATTGCTTTAATTCAACAAAATAAGTTATGCAATTTTCAACTTTTTTAAGTTATACAAGATTAATGTGATATAAATTGAAATTACTTAAACATCCAAGTTGATTGTACTGAAAAATGTAAGGCAGCTACTTTTTTTTACAGTGTACCACTGATTTACAGTACATTATAGACATTAACCACAACATTTCTAGAGTTAATTCTGTGTGAAGGTGTGTTTACTGACCTACCTCTGTTTTTATGTTAAGGACAGTAAACATTTGTCTAATGGCCGTTTCCTCCTGTTGCATCTCTGTTGTTGTCCGACCCTTTGTTTCAGCCTCCACTAATATAAAGAATGATAATGTCAATGAAGCTGTCATCTATGAAGCACTTCCTCCTGTGTACATTTTTGTGTTAAATGTTCTAATGGTCTTTTAATCCCATATTTTTCATTTAGAACTGGCCTTCTGAAGCTACATACTTGTTTCCCAGAAAACAATACGATTTACCCTGATCATTGTTTTCAAAAAGTAACGACACATAGTATTAACAGTCACTTTTCAATTTTTTTCTTAATTTAAAAAAAAAAATCCAGCTATAATTTTGTCTTGTGGTGTAAATGTAAACATCTGTTATGTGAAAGTTCTTTTTTTGTATGATCCTCTTATTTTGTTAAAATTATTAACATTTTGCAGATTCTGCAAGGTGTGTGTAAACTTTGGAGTCTGACTATATACGATGTACATTATCTATCTATTATTTTTACACAGAGCAGAAACACTTAATATTGCTCTCATTTTACCTTGACCCTCCAAAGTCTCTCTCTTGAAGTCATACTCATCTTGCAGATCTTCCAAAACCTGAATGTCCTGTTCTATTTCCTGAAGAAGAAAAAAAAGGCAGCTACGGTGTTGAAAGTTTTAAGATAGTTTCATATAGTTCATGAAAAATATCCAAACAGAAGAGTCTGTTGTGTACTTGAAAGTTCATGTTTTAAGAATGAATGAAGGTGAGAGTAAAGTGCCATATTAATTACAGTAAGATGCTTTACCTGCACACTCTTCTTCAGCTTGTTGACTTTATGGTCCAAATCTTTTTGTTGTTCCATCGTCGTACTCTCCTGTGATGAGTCAATGTATTATTAGACATGTACTTCGACGAATGCCCGTATATTAAAAGGTCCGGTTAACTAACTTTCTTGACAAACAAGTGACTTCTCCTCATTCAGGGTGTTGGATACGATCATAGCCATGTAAACATGCTACTGTATCTCTAATACAATATTGCGGAACACAGAACAAAGCAGTGCACCTGTACGAAGTTGCTGCTTGGTTTTGTTACGCTATACCAGGAAGTTATTTCAGTCATGATATGCATCTTCAGAATAAAACGCAAACACTACTTCCACAAGCCTAGACACTACTAGAAACTCGTCAAATTAATAGAGGAAATTACAGTTACTGACATGTACTCACATGATCTATTTATTTGGGTTTATTGTGTAATGCAAAATAAATAAATAAAAAACACTACATTTAATTTTTCAGTATTTCTTTTTTTAATAAAAAAAGTGATTCTATTTGTTATGATTGCTTGAAAGTTCAACGTAACCTTTTCTAATTTACCATTATAAATTTACCTGTGGCACGTTGTGAGTGTTAAGTTATTCTTCATTCAAAGATAAGCGTGTCAATTCGTTGCATTTAAAAATGAATATTTTGTTCATGGTTTAAAAATGATTATAATTTTTTTAAGAATAAATAAAATGATAAATAATAATAAATTAATTTTAATAATAACAATAATATTCAAAGAATTAAAAATGCTCACTGTTTGGAAACAATCATTATTCATTTTTGCAGTTCTGTTTGCTGCCACTAGTGGCCTCAGATGAACATACTACATACTTTATATTGGTGAGATGGTGGATTTAAAATATGGAAGCATATGGGTAGCAATATTCAATTTGAAATGTAATATGCAAAATGACAATGCAATATGTAAAATGGCAATGCATTTCTGTATTTAAATTTACATATGCCATTACATTTGTGCAACGTTTGGTGCCAAACGAAAATGAAAATTCAATTATATTAATTTACATTTGCCATTTCATACACTAGTTTCAATATGTAAATTGAATACATATTTTAATGCTTTATAAGTTGCAAAATGAAAATATATTACAGAAATTATTAGATATGTTTAACATGTTCAAGCGAAAACTGTAGCAAAATGATCATTTAAAAGTTATTTTTCTTAATTGCATTTACACTCACAGTTAAGATCAGTTATGTCCCACAATGAATGTAGCAAAATTCAATGTCCAAATCAAAAATGCTTATGTTGGTCATACTTCCAGAAGGTATAATGTGTGATTCTGAATGACAGTATCCACTGGCGCGGTGACTGACAGCCGCACATTCTCCTCAAAACATTGGATTCATCCGCGCTGTGCCGTGCCGAGGCACAACCCACGTAAAGTTGACAATTCCGCGAAATAACTGCAATTGCAGATTTCAAACAGAGATGGCGACAAAGAGGAAAAACTACGGACTGCAGCTTTCATTTGAATTTTGCACCAAACGTTGCACAAATGTAATGGCAAATGTAAATTTAAATGCAGAAATGCATTGCCATTTTACATATTGCATTGTCATTTTGCATATTACGTTTCAAATTGAATATTGCTACCCATATGCTTCCATAGCATGAGAACCTGCTGTTGAGAAACAAAAAACAACAACAACAAAAACAATGTTTAAACTACATGAAAAAAAAGCATGTAATAGTCTTTATTAGTACTTCACATTATGTAACACTGTCTAATGTTCAAAAATAGATCACAAAATAATGCCAGCTTGGATTCTGAAGCAGTAAGAAGGAAGGTTGTTGTTTATTTCTGTTAGACTGTATCTGGCTGACTGAAATCAGTGTGTGTGTGTGTGTGTTTGTGCAATTAAAGCAATGGCATATACAGTCAAGATTTGTTGATGTGCAAAAATAAATATATGTACTTCACAGAATAGAGGAGGTTTTTCTCAAACAAATGTCTTAACAGAAACAGATTTTTGCATGTATTCATTATGGCAATATCTAGCATGAGAGACTGGTACACAGACTCAAATATAATTATTAAATACATTGTCAGTGACAACAAAATGCAAGTTTCTCATATGTTCACATTTTTATATAAAAAAACAAACAAACAAGCAAAAAGACATAGGATTACACTGTTTTAGCTGTAAATGTATTCTGTAATTTGACTAAAGAAAATGGCTCCTTTTGGAGAATAAATGTAGTATATCCTTATGACTAATATAGTAGAGAGAAGATCTGTGCAAAGATGAATCCTTTGGGTATGACTATCTGTTTCCATCGTTCATTATAGTTGTGACAGATGCAGTACTACTAAAAACAGGATAATTTTCTCCCCGAAAAACCTTGGATTTAATTTAGATGGTGGAGAAACGTTCCTCAAACCAGCGTTGCCTTGATGTGCTCTAACACTTTTGGAGTCTTGAAACAGGGCTAAAAATATGGATAAATAAAACATGAATATAGTTTTCAGAAACAGAACATATATAAAAAAGAGAGAGGAAAGTAAGAAAAAGTAATAGCTTACTTTTCTGACACAGAAATCATGCGTCTATCTATATATGGTTTGATAGGTTTGTCTATCTCCATCTCTTCTGAATCTGATGGACAAAAGAACATGTAAGGTGTGTCGATATTGACAAAACACGCGGTCTCTAACATACAGTGGTCCTAAAATCTTTTTGAAGACAGTTCCACTTACATCTGTTTTCTGTGACTTCAAACCAAACAAATTTTTTTTTGCTTGAAAAAAGTGCTTGTGCTCTCTTTCGTTAAAAAAAATGGTACTTGGTTCAATATTTAGTTTCTTAATGCAATGAAATTCATACATCTTTAAGTGTGACTATATATTTGGGGACACTATATACTGTAAGAATATATATACAGTTAGAAGAGAAATGTGCCATAATATATTAAAGTGATAATTCACCCAAAAATGAAAATGATGTCATCATTTACTCAACCTCATGTCATTCCAAATCCATAAGACTTTTATTTATCTTTTGAACACAAATTAATATTTTAAATATTTGCAAACTTAAATGCTGTAAGCATTGTTTGCTGATCAGATTAAATCTGTTCATCATATAAAGCGATCGTGTCTCTTTGGAAGACTTGGATTAAACTGCTTGGTTCATATGGATTTCTTTTAGAATCTCTTTATGAATGTTTTCAAGTGTCAGAGTTTTGGGTGAATAGACCTTTAATGAAGGGACAGAAATCACTCAGATTTCATTCAAAATATCTTAATTTGTGTTCCGAACATGAACAAAGGCTTATGGGGTTGGAACGACATGAGTAAATGATAATGGAATTATAATTTTTATGTGAACTATCCCTTTAAAATATACTATGTACCTTTTGTATTATATAGTGATGTTTTTTTGCACCCATGAGATCTGCATCATAATCTAGGCCACAGGATGTACTTTTACACTCATGTCTTAGGCTACCTCTCTTTTTACTCAATAAATGAATGAATGGACGGTGTATCTACCATCAGAAGAGCTGCTATAGTAGCGACCAAAAGCGTCATCTTTTGGGATGTCTGGGTAAAGGTAGACGAGGGGATTCACTGGGACCTTCTCTGAAGCAGTGAGGGTGTAGTCACGGATGACGTTAGGCAAAGAGATGGTCGCCAGATCTGATTTAGTGTAGGGCTTCACCGAATGCATCTTAGGTTTACCTAAAATTTACACACATGTTGATGCTCATTCACGTGCAGTAAAAGGCTGCCAGATGCACACTGTTATTGTTTTAAAAAAAAATCATTATGAAATACTCAGTTCAAACCAGCACACACCGTCCTGTGAATATTCCACCCATGTGATGGTGATTCCTCCTTCTCGACAGCTTTCACTGAAGCGCAGAAGGAAAGTGCCTGGGAGTTTGTCTATCAACAAAGCCTTCTCTCTCTTTTTACTCATGAACCCCATAATATACCTGCATATTGTTATGAGAAATTAAAAAAGATATATATATATACAGTTTTTTGGCAGGTTGTGGCATTTAATAAAAATATCCATCACATTTCAATGTTCATGAAGTTATGGCAGTACAATACTTAAAAATGTATAATATAGCTGAAGAGATTTTGACACATTGTAACGCCATTCTGGTTAAAGTTTGCATGAAACAGCATCTTACTGTACATATTTTTGTGTGAAACGGCATTCAAAGGAAATTTTATTTGATTTTATCCACTGGGAATTGTTTGAATTGTGAAAAGTGGGTGTTATACTGTATATCAGAATGGAGCAAGACGAGGTAGAGCAAGATGTTTACATTTTTATTACTAAGACAATTTGGGTTACACTTTATTTTAAGGTGTCATTGTTACACTGTAATTGTACATTTAAGTACTGAGTGATATTAAAGGAGAACTCTACCAGTCGATCTACGAATGCCGATCCAAGTGCGCTGGTGAGATGTGAACGAGCTATAAGTTGTGATAAGGTGAGCGGGAACAGCAGGCTTGGATCGGCATTCGTAGATCGACTGGTAGAGACCGTTTTTCAAAGATGGCTTCTGCCTGTATACGCGAAGTTGACTATGTATAAAATATCTTCTTATTAAACTGTCTGGACACTGACAAAGTTCTCAATGCTTCGGTTTGAAGGTAGGGACCCTCATTATGCTAGCGTGTTAGTGTGGGGCTATTTTGAGCCTTGTTAGTGGTATTAACAAGCGATTTTTATTTGTCATTACTCTATGACTATGCCCTATATACTAGCGTTATACTAGCGTTATAGGCTAAACTGTTTTAAGAGATAAAACTCTTTACATTCGATAATCATGAAAACAAATCTCAGATAACGGTTGACTAGGTAACAATGTGTAATTAGACCAAAGGTTCATTTTGCGCCAGAGTTCTCCTTTAAATAACTACATGTACTTACTATAGGGTTTGGATTAGGGTTTGGTTTAAGCTTAGTTGCATGTAATTATGCATCATTTTTAGTTCTATTGTAGCTACATGTAACATATGTAACAATGACACTGTAAAATAAAGTGTTACCACAATTTGTTTTATTTGGAATAACGCAGACTGTTGAATCATACACAATAACAGCAGGAAGATATATTAAAAAGAAAATGGGGTGAATGTTGAATTCGTGTTGACTTTAACTTTGTTAATCTCAAACTGAAATTAGAATTGGAATTAAATAATAATAATAATAATAATGATGGAACTCTTACCCATCATTCCAGATGTTGAGCAGATGTTTTTTAATAAGGTCCAGAATTCCATCCATCCACAGCCAGAACGCTACACCCCTCTCATTAGGAGACAACTAGGTGAAAACACACAAGTTTATTCTATTATTTCATTTATACTACCTCCATTTGTGATTAGTTAAAGCAAGTGGATATGGCATTGCCTTGACACTTTTTATTGCACATCAGATGATAATATATATATATTTATATTATATATACAGTATATATTTATATGTTTGTGTGAGTGTGTGTGTGTGTGTGTGTGTGTGTGTGTGTGTGTGTGTGTGTGTGTGTGTGTGTGTGTGTGTGTGTGTGTGTGTGTGTGTGTGTGTGTGCATGCTTGCGTGCGTGCCCTAAGACAGGAACAGGTATTGTTTAAAATTCATGGGTAACTTTGATGAAAGGTTTTGATTCACTTCAAATGGGGACTACTATATATATATATATATATATATATATATATTTAGTTAGTGTCGACTTCTAAAAGCAGTGCTGGTCTATTTGGTATCAGGTTCTTCCAGTCTCAGTTTTGTCTCTAAGTTTTGTTTTATCAGTAAATCATGTGCTGACAGCAGAGGAACAAACATAAGTGAGATTGGTTAAAGAAAACGAAAGCAACTTTCCTGTCTTTGTTTCAGTCATTACCATGAACCTACCTTACAAAATGTATTCCAGTAAATGAGACCCTCGGGGTCACCTTGGGCTTCATGACCTGAAAACAAATACGAAATCTTAAAAACATTTGTGCTATATATTGAGAAAATATAAATAATATTTCTTATTAAGAAATAAGAAAATATAAATAAACTCACCAAGAAGTTTGTCGGCCAGCGTTCTCAGCTGCTCAGAGTTCAGCGCTCGTTTAGTGACAGAAGAAAACTGCCAGCTTATGACCTTTGAAAGCTGCTCCCATTTCACTGGTGGCGGATTCAAGAAGAACGTCAGATTCTGAGACAGAGAGCGAGAGATGGACAGCGGGAGTCAGAATGGAAGCATCAGTAGAGGACAAAAGCACTGATGATGGGAAACGGCCATACGTGGGGTTCACTGCAGAGCATGTTGTACCATAAGATGGAGCCCCAGGCACTAGGTAACTGATTCACGTGGGAGATCACCACAATCGGAAGTGATATGTTCTGTTTAATCACATTAAAACAGGTCAGGTCAGAATTACTGGTCTGATCAACAGCTCAAATGTCTTGTCTACCCATGTTATTGATATAGTAACTGTTTCAGAGTACCTTACCGATAAATCAACACATAGTTCTGGCTGAATGAGTTGAGTTTCAAATCTAAGTAAGTGCAGCTCCTCAGAAATGATGAGAGAACTCTGTAATAAAAGAAAAAAACATCAGCCATTCATAATGATCCATTTCAATGTGTGTGTTTTATGGCTTACCTCATTGGTTCTGTTGTTACATTTCATTTCCTTTAATTGCTGTGGGGAGAAAAGAGAGCAACATGTATTTATGATGTGCAATAATGTCTTATCTGTTTGTCCTGGGGTTTTCCACAACATACCAAATGGCGAAATTCAGCTGCTAGACATCCATTGGATTCCTCTAAGTTGATAACTTTAGAAGTTGTCCCTAAAATATTGAATTTTCTACATCTAGGACATTAGAAAACAGACAATTGGATTATTTGAGCTTTGGTGGCATGTATTCAAATGCTAATGGTGAGCCATTAAAATATTTTATTCAAAACAGAATCATTTAAAATATTAGAGTTTGTCATTATGTATTTCAGGCTTATTATCTAGTGATTATTACATTGATCACTGTAATACTGTAGTAATATAGTTGCAGGATTGCAGTCTTGTTCAAATGTGGGTTGCAGAAGCTTTTGTGGTTGTTGTGTGGGCCACAATTAAATGTTTGTTAACCTCTGCTTGGTATATATCTAAATACATCGGCTCATTCAAAACATCACATTATAGTAATAAATCACATTTGAAGTCTGAGTTTCGGCGTAAATATGTTACGTACCCTTTTACTGTGTCATTCTCTGTTAAATCTCTACAGGAGAAAAACAAATATACTGTATAAATACACAGATGATAGATAGATAGATAGATAGATAGATAGATAGATAGATAGATAGATAGATAGATAGATAGATAGATAGATAGATAGATAGATAGATAGATAGATAGATAGATAGATAGATAGATGATAGATAGATAGATAGATAGATAGATAGATAGATAGATAGATAGATAGATAGATAGATAGATAGATAGATAGATAGATAGATAGATAGATAGATAGATAGATAGATAGATAGATAGATAGATAGATAGATAGATAGATAGATAGATAGATAGATAGATAGATATTACTTACTTGTCAATAGAGACTTTTACTTTGAGTTGACAGTTCAGTTCAGGGAGTTTGACTAGAGATCTAAATAATAAAACATATTTAGATTAGATATTGGCTACACATCAATCTCACTGAAATAGCATCTATTAAATTGAGTGACATAACAGCGTCAGTGACTGTAACTTTAACCCACCTGATCTTGACTGTGAACTGAACTCCTGTCTTTATCACCAAGGGTCTCTGAGGATGTGTGGGCATACACGGCTGTCTCTCCACTACAAGAGAACTGAAAGACACGTCACAACCGCTGTCATCCTGTTCAAGACTATAATCTTTCAGAAATGACATAAACCACAGAATATATTCAAATTCCCCCGTGAACCTTAAACCCACAAATCCTCGTATCAGCAGCAGTTTGTCTTTCTGCAGCTTGTGCTCTACATATAAAGACATATAAAGGGAAGAATAGTGACGGTGGTTTGTCTCACTTTGATATAAGGTTTTTGAAGAGTGAAAGTGCCTGTTCATCCAGCTGGCTCTTGCTCAGAGTGAGCGGGTCGTTGTTGTAGGTGAACTTCTGCACCAGTTCCTGAACTTTCTTCAGCTGCTGACGGATCTGCTGCAGACACTCTGCCACCACTGTGAACCTGCAGCACAAATCATGCAGTAGCTAATTATAGAAAAATAATACATCAGTACCAAGGACAGCACCAAAACAAATATAAGGGCAATATGAGGTCATCAGATCCAGCTAATTATTGAATAATAAAAATTATTTACTTATCAAATCGAAAATCTTAAAATAAAATATATATATAAAATAAAATAAAATTATTGGAACATTCCAGTATTTATTATAAATGATTTATGTTTGCACACATCCTTTTTTTTTATTCATGTGCCCTCGTAATTTTTAATTTAAAATAACTCCCCCTCCCTCCTCCAACGACATCACAGCAATAGCAAATGACAACGATCCAATCAATTCCTGACAGACAAAATTAAGTTATTAGTAAACAATATTTTTTTCCTTACATTTAATAATGAACTCAGACAAGCTCGGTGCCTACTCAGTTTTCATCGGTTCTTTGTGAATTGGAATGTGCGCAATGGGATGCGAAGGATACACGTGATGCATCCTTCAAAATGAGCTAAATGAAGGACGCGAAACGAAGGTCCTTCAAATTGAGGCGGCCTTCTGTGGCGCTTGATGACGTGGCAGCCGAGATATGCAGCCTTACTAGGATCCAGGCAGCCTTCAAGCACCCATTATTTTGTTTCCAGCTTTCAATACAAGTAATTTGGAGAGGTTCTCACCAGCTCTGCAGCTGGTCCAGACACGCATTGGGCGGACCACCGATGCAAGCCATCTGCTGCCGCTTCTTCCACTCAGGTAACTCATCTGATATGAGTGTGAGCTGGATCTGCTCTGCTAGAGTCAGTACATTAGCCATTTCCTTTATCACCACCTGCACATACATATGCTATATTGTAGAAAAGATATATGATACTGAAGAAAACGGCAACATTAAGCACATTCCTATTGATGTAAACTCAAAACTTGCAGCTACATCTACACCTTACCATAATCTCGACCTACCTCTCTTTTCATGCTTAGCCCCATAAACATTTGTCGAATTGCCAATTCCTCCTGCTGTATCTCTTTTGTTATCTGGCCATTCATATCAACTTCCACTGAAAATATATAAAAAAAAAAAATTAGTTCATTCAGACTGTTAAAAAACCCACATCTGTAAAATCTAACATTGATCTGACCAATTACAGATATCCCAAAGTGTTCATTGATATCATACCAGAGCGAAATGCTAAGATTGTGTCTGTTACCTCGACTCTGCAAGGTCTTTCTCTTGAAGTCATACTCATCTTGTACATCCTCCAAAACCTGAATGTCCTGTTCTATTTCCTAGAAGCAAATAAATATTCCACAATTGCAGATGGTTTGTGAAACTGTAGTCACTTCTAGAAATAGTTTTTCGGAAATGTAGATCATTTTTGTGGTAAAGACCCAAAAAGATTCAATATCAGCTCCAAAACCTAGTCATTATTCACTGAGATGTTTTACCTGCACGTTCGTCTTCAAATTGTTGATTTTATTGCCCAAGTCATTTTGTTGTTCCATCATGAAATTCCCCTGTGATGAGTTACCTTTACCCTAAAAACAAAATTACAGAGATGAATGACAACACAAGCGCGGGTTTGAAATGACAGCTGTGACGCAAGGGTTGCACTTTATTTTACAGTAGGTGCATTTACGTGAACTTACAGTGTACTTACCCAAGAAAGTCTTGGGTAAGGTTAGGTTTAGGAGTAGGTTGAGGGTTAATACCTACTGTAGTTACCCAGTTATTGAAATTACTATAATACTAATAATTAGTTACATTTATATAGCGCTTTTCTAGGTACTCAAATCGCTTTACATATGGAAGTGGAAATCTCTTCAACTGCCACCAATGTGCAGCATCCACCTGGGCCAGAACGCCCACCACACACCAGCTTATTGGTGGAGAGGAGACAATCAGTATATGGGGATGATTAGGAGGCCATGATGGACAGAGGCCACTGGTCAAATTTGGCCAGGATGCCGGGGTTAAATTCCTACTCTTTCGAAAGACATCCTAGGATTTTTTATGACCACAGAGAGTCAGGTTCTCGGTTTAACGTCTCATCCGAAGGACGGTGCTCTTGGACAGTGCAGTGTCCCCGTCATTATTCTGTGCATTAGGACCCCCTGCTGGCCTCACTAACACCAGGCTCAACCCTGCTTAGCTTCAGAGGGCAACCAGTCTTGGGCTACAAGGTGATATGGCTGCTGGCCAAACAATAATAAGTACATAGTATGTACAGTACATGATGGGGAACAGGACTGTAAAATAAAGTACAAACGATGCAAGACTAAAAGCCTTACTTGTGTACTAAGTGCAGTTTCCAGTATCTTTCTCTCTTCACTCAGAGTGTTAGCTATGATCATAGCCATGTGAACAGGATCCTCCTGGAAGTGCTCCTAATGGGAGACGATTAATTCCATTACCTGAGCTATTTCATTTTAGAATAATGAAAATAATTATATTGAATGTAATCTTTTTTGCACCTGTAGGTTACGCTTAATTTTGCGTATATTATGCTGTAAGAGGAAGTTGTTTCCCAGGTTGAGACGGCTGTAGTGCTCATCAAGTTGGTTGAGGAGCTCATGGAAGCGTAGGGTGGCCAAGGATACATTACTTGCAACGGATTCCCTGCAACCAATAATAAGGGGTAAAAAAATATTTTCAGCAATTCGTGATACTACTGAATAAATGAAATATGAAATTACAACAATTCTCACCAGTCATGACTCTCAATCCATTGACTGAGATACTGTCGGATCTCCATGGGGAAAGCCTCATCGTAAAGCTGGTCCACTTGCTCCAAATACAGAGAGTCCAGCAGCTGCAGCTGGTTCCAGAGTGTCATCTGCAAACATAAAAACGCAAACCATTATGACATACTGTAATACTTTAACTGTTTACATACTACATCCTGCCTGTGTTGACGTTTGTCACCTACCACTTGTTTTATGCGCAGTTATGTGAACATTAGGCATTAAGCTAATAACAATAATAAAAGTTAATAAAATAAAATAAATAAAAAGTGTTATATAAAAATGCACAAATGTAATAATATTTAATAATAAATTTGACTTTCATAAAAAGTATTATATTTTAAAATTTAATAAACATCATATTAGAGTTTTAGAGCTTTGCTCATCCATTAAAATCACTTAAAATCAAGGGTTTGATGACGTTCACACCCATAACTGTCCTTTTACGACATGAGTGAGATTAAAGGACTAAATATAATTTTAGAGAGATTAATTAAATGCTTCTATTCTGTCATACAATTAATATCCATTAGTTTCAAAGCTGTATGTAACAGAATAAATGAATATATGCTATGTCTGATGTTTCATTCCATTATAAACATAGAGCAAAACTGCTTTACATGACATTACATTATAGTATTCTTCAGTTTTCCCACAGCCTTTTACAAGAACGAATTCAGATAAAACTCTAGACAACATAACAGAAAATTACCTTTCAACATGTAAGTTGGGTCAAGGCACAAAAGCAGTATTTCTCAGGCTAAGCAGACAACACACACGTAGATTAAACTGTCTCTGCTTCAGACTTTTATTCTCTTCAGTGGCCACAAAATGGTTATACATGAAAAACTGACGCAGGTTACAGCCCACATTGTCATTGTAGGCCAATCGGAATGCTGTAATTACCATATGTAAATACCCTAGTGATGACAACCAATAATGTTCTAGTGCGTAAACTAAACCGCGCCCCTTTAGCGAATGGCTGTTCCAGCGAACTGCCGCCCTTCCCTTGACTATCACACTGATTACAGAATAGGAACTGCTGAGAAAACAGAAACTTAGCGACACACTAGAAATCAATAATAAATACATACATACATATTTTAAAAAACATTCATAATAAGTAGCTAAGTTCCTTCAACCAATAAAAAGACATTTCTGATCCACCACTGACCTTCCGTGGAGCAGTATTTCATGCTGATAGGCTGCGGTCTGGACGGGGGGGTTGTGAAACTCATGGCATAGCCAGCAAGGCAAGCACGCGTTTTCTGAGAAAGCGAGACCTAAACGAACTGAATGCAGGAATTCAACAGAGAAACGAAACTAGGATTTGCGTCAGTTCCCTACCATTATACTATGCCACTGGATGTTTTTATGGAGACGAGACCCCTTGGCTTTTAAATGTGCTGTTGTAAATGTATAGGCAGAAATGGAGAAGAAAAGATACGACGTTTGTTTCACTTAAATTTAAAATTATTTATTCTGATACAATGAGTCATTCTGTTGTTACCTGTGCCTATACATTACGTTGCTATGTTTTGATTAAATGAATGTTTGTGCCGTAATTTTAGGAAGTAGTTCTGTAAAGAGTTTGAATGAAAATATGCTTTGATCAAGACCACATAACAATTTCTGTAATTTTATTAAACAGGAATGAAAGTTTTACATTGACACAAACCAACTAATATCACAAATCCTTTGCCAAATACTTATTGATGATGTATGTATTCAATTCAATTCAATTGAATGTATGTATGCATTGCTGTTTTTCCAAAATGATGTCACCTCCTGGAGGATGATTTCATTAAGGAACTGGGCCAGGTTGTAACAAATCTTTTAAGCTAAGAAAGCCCTTGGCTACAATAGGGTTTTCTTAACAGGTTGCTGTTTTTTGTTAAACAGAATGCAAAGTGAAATAGAGGATATAGGAAATACCTATACATTGATTACCAGTTAAAACAATGTCCTTTGAATACACCTGACATATTTTTTAAATAATACTTTATTTTTTAAAACATTGGCTTAGTCCAAAGTAGTGAAACTGATGAAAATTAGCCCATATGTTGACTTAATTGTGATATAAAGAAATAAAATATGATTTCTATCTTTCTATTGTGAGTTAATAGTTGTAATATTTTATCCAATATATTAAGACGTGACAGGTATATGAAAATGTTCTTCAAAGTGGTGTGTGGATTGCTACAGAAATGAAACTCTTTATTATGATCAACTTATGAAACATACTGTAGTCCTGTCAATTGTTTTTAGATAGCATTTCCCTTATGATAGATATCAACACTTTCTGCCACATCAGCATACCAATACTAAGGGAATGAAGTAGACGTCAAATTGTTTGCATATTTAGTTGCACAAATGCAAAAGACTTAATTCATTTGCACAAACTCAAAAGCCATGTGTCTGAAAAAAAATGTCTGAATTTAAATGCCATGAATCATATTGCAGGCATATAGAGTGCATCTAGAAATAGACTTTAATGGAAGTTTTCTGATTCACTTCCACACGCTAAAGGAGAACATGGTTATATTGCTATTTATATCATAAAATGACTGGATTATACAGTGAAAAGTTAAACCACTTCACATATGATGCAATAAGAATGTGGTAATAAGTCTTTCCCATGTTGGAACATGCTGGCTGCTGCCCACTCAACAACATTTCCATCATAAAAATGTCAACAACCACAATTCCTAGTCAACGTGCCAAGATTACACATTGCATTTTAAGACGGCACATTGTTGGTATTTAGTAAACTGCTATTACTGTCTACTACAACAAATAATACAATAGTGACACCATAAAAAATTTTATTTAAAAAAAAAAAAAAAAAACTATAGCAACAACAAGCTTGTCATAATATATACATAAACTGTATAATGGGTATAATGTTAGGCAGTTATGTTTAGTCAAATCTGAATTTTACAGATACATGAGACCACATAACTAGAATTTGAATAGTACAATGAATAGTACATGATACATTTTCATATTGACAGTATTTTGGAATATACACTCAGCAAATCAAAGGGAGAGAAATTATGTTTTTTAGTGGCATAGAGCCAGAAAAAAGTCCACCTGTAGTCAATAATTTTATCCCTTAAAACTCATCTTTGATCATCAAAATTACATATCTAAAAGTCTATAAAAATTCTTCATGCCTTAAAATATCTTGAATGTAACTCTACAACCTGGCCTCATTTAGTATACGCAGAACCATGAATATGCCAATTAGTCCCCGCCTCCACTCACTCACACCAGAGATTCACTCGTTTACGATCATACGTTGACCTGATTGGTTACAAGATAGTTTGTGACGTCAGAAACACTAGTGATTTCAAACCGCGTTTTTGAGACTGTCTTTGGTTCACTGCAGTTTTAAGGAGAAAATACTCAGCAATGGTGTTGACTTGTGCATTTGTACATGGTTTGTCTTAAAACATATTAAAAACACCACATAGACATATAAACAACATTAAAAACTTGATTTGCACCACAGGGGGACTTTAAGAATGGCAAAAGAAACCAGAATACAGAGATGGAAAGCTCCGAACCCATCCAAAATCTTGGATCTGAGCGAAATCTGGTAGTTGCCCTTTCTACGGTGAATTCATCTGCAATGTAAACAAGAAAAACATGTCATGTCATATTCTGATTAGTTTGCTTTTCTTAAATATATGAATGCTCAAACAGTTATGTTTTGCTTATTAGTGACAGCCCCAAATTACCCACAAGATATGGTTCTGAGCAACAGCCTGAAAAACCCTGAAACCACGTTGAATTTAAACAAGGATATAAACTAAATTTTATGGGTTTGAAAATGAATAATACACATTTAAGATTATGCATGGTTAAGTCACTAACCAAATAAGCAAAAGTGTGACATTGACCATGTAAACAATACAATTTAAAAATAAATAAATAAAATAAAATACACATTGTGAAATTTGTTAATATTTCACTCCAATTGCTATGCAAATAATATAATTTGTAATGAAAAAAGTATTTAAAATAGATTTAAATGTTACATTTTTTACCCCACCGTGTGTGTGTATTCTATATATTTTAGGGCTGTCAAAATTTTAAATGTTTTTTTTTTAAATATTTAAAGCTATTAACGTAGCATCCGTTTTCCGTTCTGCTAGTGGGACGCCCGGTGGCTATTTTTGGTACAGCGTTGAAACAATGTCTTAAGAACTTAAACTTTTGTTATATCAACTTCAAATTTTAATCTCCTGTCTGTGTGACACACACATGACTTGTGCGCACAGAAAGCCGCTTCAGACAGCGTGCATTCTTTGAACAGACAAAAACACACAAACGTATGCCAAAATGCCTTCTTTGTCGAGTATCCTCGTAAGCACAGTCTTAAATGAGTTAAATAAATTCTTAAATGACTAAAGAGTTGTGAGGCCATGAGATACGTGTCAGATCCGCGTCTCGTGCTTCAGATCTTTAAGTGACAGCAGCCAAATAAACCTGCGGCTGGGATGTCTGTCATTAATGTACAACCCCATTTCCAGAATAGTTGGGACATTTTGAAAAATGCAATAAAATCAAGAATCTGTGATTTGTTCATTCTCTTGAACCTTTATTTAACTTCAGAAAATATTTCCAATGTTTTCACTGACCAACTTAATTTTTATTTTGTAAATATAAACAAGTTTTGATGGCTGCAACACACTCCATAAAAGTTGGTACAGAGGCATGTTTACCACTGTGTCACATCACCATTCTTTTTTAATTACACTTTTTAATCATTTGGGAATTGAGGATACTAATTGTTGAAGTTTTGCAGGTGGAATATTTGCCTAATCTTGTCTGATATAAGACAGCTGCTCAACAGTGCATGGTCGTCGTTGCCCGATTCTCCTTTTCATGATGGTTCATACATTTTCAATAAGAGATCTGGACTGCAGGCAGTCAGGCACATCCACTCTACAGTAGAGTGGATGTAGAGTGACTAGAAACCACTCAGTTTTAGTATGTGCAGAATGAGACCTGGCATTGTCTTGCTTCCCAGGAAAGATGTCATCTTGATGCAAATATATGCCTCCATGACAGTGGTACCTTCACACAAATGCAAGTCACCCATGCCAATTGCACTGATGCACCTCCATACCATAATAGATGTCTGCTTTTGCACTTGTGGATGGTCCCTGTCGTCTTTGGGACTGAGAACTCGATGTCTGTTTTTCCCAAAAACAAGCTCAAACATGGACTCATCTGACCACATTTCCCCGGTGTTTTAGACCATCTGAGATGAGCTCGGGCCCAGAGAACTCGCCGGCATCTCCGCATAGAACTGATGCATAGCTTTCTCTTTGCGTAACAGATTCAAGTGGCATTTCTAAATGCAGCGTCAGACTGTGTTAAGTGAAAAAGACTGAGAAGCTCCTTTTTCACCCAAACATGATCCCATCACCTATTACCAATTCACCAACTCATTGTGGACTGTTCCAAAAGAGTTGGATAATCTAACCTTTATAATCTTTTCACTTTTATTTTGCCTCTGTCCCAACTTTTTTGTAGTGTGTCGCAGCCATCAATATCAAAATTTGTTATATTTACAAAATACAATTATGTTGGTCAGTGAAAACATTGGAAAACTTTTCTTTGTACCTTTGTCAGTTAAAAGAAGGTTAACAAATTAACAAATCAGATTGTGAATTTTATTGCATTTTACAAAATGTCCCAAGTTTTCCGGAAATGGGGTTGTAAATCAAAGAACAAAAGACAAAGAAAAGAAAAATCACAGAAAATCACTTACTGCTCTTGACTGAATAACTTCTTTAGCTTTAATAAGGATTAATCTATAA